CCCAGCCCTTTTCATTTTTTATTTTGAGACAGGGTCTTGCTAAGTTGCAGAGGCTGGATTTGAACCTGTAATTCCCACCACCTCCACCCCATAACTGGGATTAAAGGCATGTACCACTGTGTCTGACTCAAATTTTACTCTTTTTATCTTAGCTGCTTTCAGTCTTTTTAGTCTAATTCTTATTAACTGTACTAGAGTTTATTTAAGATTTATGTTCTCTGATTTTATCATATGTTTAATTCATAGTATTTAATCAGGTAATCGGGGCTTTTAAAAAGTAAATTCTTTAACTCAGTAATCATTGAAAAACCTAAAGCCAAATAAAATGTTTACATGTAGACATTTTTAGCAAATAAATGAACAAAAAAATCATGATAAACCCCAAATATGTTGGACATTTGTTAGATAGCAGCCTTTGTGGAAAAATTATTTATAGAACTCTCATTTTAAATTTAAAAATACCCAGTGACCCAGTGAAATAAATATTATTTATCCCTCTTTTTACAAAGGAAGGAAGTCAAATGTACAGGAAGGTGAAGCTCTGTGTGTAAGTCAATATCTGGGGAGGGGGGAGCCAGAATTTGAACTCAAACTGAAACCCTGTGCATTTTTGATGCAAGCCACAGCCCAGTGGACTCTGCCACTCTCAGGCCTCGGGTCCTCTTTCTGGATTGTGCTGAGTCATACCTCTCCATATGGATGCTGGAACATCCACAGCTAAAATAAATAAGGCTACTGATCCAAGGATTCTTTTTAAGGTGTGCTTCTTTTAAAACAGTTTTTCCCAATAAGTTAAATTCTCTTATTTTAACATACATGGTTCTCCCCCACCCCCCATAGAACCACAATGTGGATCGGAAGGATAAATGAGATATTCAGGAGTTTGCGTTGAGAAAATATTAAATGGTTTTGAGCCATTAAAATTATTGGTTTTGTTTGTGAGTTTTAAAAGATTATACTCTGCAGTTGGGGAAAAAAGCCCTCTGTGGTCAGATAGGCAAACTTTCAAATACAATAAGTGTAATACGTAAGTAGTAGGATATTAAACAATTGATTTCTCTAGCTTTTGGTGCCTTCATCTACAAAATGGGATTATATTTGCCTCAAAAATTTTAGGAAGTCTAAATGATTAATATTGTTAAAATCCCTGGCATCATGCTCAGTATACTTCATTTTCTTTCCTCTAATTAGCCTAATATCTTTCCTCTAAGTAAAAACACATAATTGGGTATTTCCAATCAAGAAGACACTTATGATTCTCTGTTTTCTTTTTCACTTTTTGTTATGCTGGTGATCAAACCCAGGGCCTTGGACATGCTAGACAAGCACTCTATGGCTAAACTACACCCTCAAACCCTCTCATAGTGTGTTATTGAATGACTAAATATAAAAGTACATGCTGAGCAGAGGTGTCCTCATATCCAACAGTATCTTTTGACAGATGTATTTGTTCACATAATTTTTAGTTAACCTGCTTTATAGAAATAACTAAAAACAAAAAAAAATCTCATCTCACTAACAATCAGGGTCTGGCTAAAATTATTGTAGTTTATTAAGACTAGGGACTCATTCTGGCCTAATTGTTCACCTTAGTTAGTTTCAACATCACAACAGCCAAGCTCTGGAAACCATGACATACTGGGAGTCTCCTGTATTTAAAACAGACACATGTCCAGCTGAAGACATGAACTTCCCCATTCTCTAATAAACAGCTCCATTCACCATATTATTTTGCTGTCCTCATCATGGCCAATTGCTTTGGGATAGTTCCTGGCTCAACCAACTTGATTCACTGACTGATCATTATCCTCTGAGATTTTTTTTTTCTTGCTTAAGACTTTTGAAGTGAATGACATGTCTTCTAGCTAATTGGTGGTAGTTTCCAGAACTGAAAGACTGCAGATCTGGTAGTCATGTTGGATCCTGAAGAAAACCCATAAAAGGCAGTAATGGGCAAAGAGGATTAAAGATTTACAGAGAAGCCAAGAGACAATTCATGCAGCTCCAGAAACAGGAAACAGTGGGTCTAGGGTCTCCTGTTCTGAGTGCTTCCAGGTTTCCTTTCAACTCAGCTTCACTTCCTACCTGGATTGTCAAGACATTTTCATCAACCACCATTCTCATTGAGCTGAATTGAACAAATGCTCAACTTGATGACTGCTGCCTGAAAGAAGGGACACAGTTTCCACTGAAGTGAGACTCTTCAGAGAGAGAGAGAAAATGAGGCAAACTGAGGGCAGTTTCCCACTCTTTAACACCATGAGTAGGGAGCAATCCAACACACTCATATGAAGCAAGCTCTAATCAATCCAGGCTATTGTGAACACAACTGATTAGAGGAAGAAGAGTGTAGAGGATGCTGACCAGAGTTTTCAGCCTCAGGAAAGAGTTTTAAGGGATTCTGTGAAGAGGTCCTTGAGAGGTAAATTGAAAACAGGGAGAAAAACCTGATAAGGATAGTCAACAAGGCCAGTTTTTGCAGCCTGTTTTCTGGGATGAAAGGGTGAGTTTCATAAAAAATGAGTCATCTGGGAACACATTTATTATTTATTCAATGTTAAATATCAGCACAACTCTATTTTACCACTGTTCACAAATATTTAATCTACTTTATCAGATAAGAAAATCCCTGGCTAAAATTATTGTAGTTTCTTAAGACGAGGGACTCATTCTGGCCTAATTGTTCACCTTAGTCAGTTTCAATATCACAAAAGCCAAGCTCTGGAAACCATGACATACTGGGAGTTTGCCATATTTAAAACAGAAAATCTCTTTAAGATTTATGCAGTTTTTGAAGACTTTGTCAAGAGTGAGTTTTTCCCCATAAAAAAACAAGAATTGATATTTCTAGTATCATTTACAAATGGTGATGGTAAAAATATCAGATGTTGTGCTATGCAGTACCTAGTACGTAACAATGAATATACCCACTCAGATTTCCTACTTTGCTTTCTATGAACAAATGATGATTCCATTTCTTTCTTTTTTTTTAAAAGAATAGAATCCTATAATCCTGACTTCTACAGACTTCTTCTTTGTAGTTTATAATAGTATAGTGTTTCTTCTTTCAGATTTTATGCATTTCCTGTGTTTCCTCCTACCTAAATTATTGTTCAACATTTAGGACTCTTCATTTAGGACTCCTCATTCACTTGAGTCATTAGCATTAATAAGGTGTGTTCTCATATAAAACCGAGATGCCATACCACCTCTTTACTGTTAACATATACATTAAACATATTATAAAATGAATAGTCTACTGATTGATATTTTAATTGTACCTCGAGATTCTCATTTTAGAAGTAACTGGCATGTTTATCATGAGGAATAAACAAATTACTAAGTGACATAAAAGGCAGAATATCATATTAATTAAGTTAATATCAACCTGCATGATTTCAACTTTAGTACATAAATGCCAATTACATAAATTATAATGGTGCTTTTTTAATTCATTATATTATATACCATGTATCTATATTTCCATTGTGAGTCCCAAATGTCCACAAATAGTTTTAATCTGAAATTTAAAATTTTATTTTGTATGTTACAGGTACACTAAATTTTATAATTTGTGAATATGAAAATTAAGATAAATTTATAATTCAATCAAAAAGAATAATGATACTTTGATATTTCAGAATAGGCGTATTCTGAAGTTTAGTGAAATGAAGCTCTTTATACAGGTCAAAAGAAGTTTAGGAATAGTTGATAATGCAAACCTTTTGTTTCATGTTAACAAGGAAAAGCACAAAGAAGTGAAAAAAAGGTCTATGATTTGAATTCCTTTTGGAAAATGATTTGCAAATAAATCCTTGAAAATTACAAATTTTAAAGAACTTTTGCCCAACTCCTTAAACACTCATTATCTTCAAGCTTTTAAATGAAATACTTTTAAGTTAATTGATGGAAAAAATATCACCAAGAAATAAACAAAAAAAAAATTCAAATTACTTGCATTTCTAAACTTACATTGTATTTCTAAAACATTACTTTCATTTCCTTGAGACACTGACATTCATAAAAGTTGTTTTTATATAAAACTTAAAAGCTGTATCATTTCTTCACTATTAACATATACAGGTCCATTAAACATATTATAAGATGGATAGTCTACAGGTTAATATTTTAATTGTACCTTGGGATTCTTGGTGTGAATCTAGGAAGTATTTATGAAAAAAATTAATGTATTAGTTTAGGTACTTCAGAATATACCTTGGAACAATTACACTTTTTTAGTCATAAAAAATTACATGAAAAATCAATTTAGTAAGAGTCCTGATGGAATTACCATGTTTCATACTGAGAAAAGTTGGCAGAGATTTTAATGTAAAAATTATCCTGTAATCCCAGTGGCACCGGAGGCTGATGCAGGAGGATGGCAAGCTCAAAGCCAGCCTCAGCAATGGTGAGGCAATGAGCAACTCAGTGAGACCCTGTCTCTAAATAAAATACAAAGTAGGGCTGGGATGTGGCTCAGTAGTTGAGTGCCCCTAAGTTCAATCTCTAGTACCAAAATCCCCCAAATTATAACCACTTTCATAGCTGTGATTTCACTTCTAATTATTAACTTTAAAACATTATTCATTTTTATCTACAACAGCATTTTTCCTCTGTTATACTCATATTTTCTACAAGATCTTTGAAATTTAAATATACATCAAGTTTTGAATGCTTATTTTGAATTTGTATTTCTGAATTTTTGGTAACATAAAATAAAATATCATGAAACATTTTATATTCTCTTTAGGAATCCTTTAAAACTACTTCTCAACAAAAATAAAATGATAAATTAAAATCTCTTTAACTTTGACCCTGGACGCTATTCCTTAAAAGATCATTTGCAAAGTTAGTTGTAATTTTATTCTAATCATGTCTTACTTTATCTTATAATTTACATATGGCTTAGGAATTTTCAGTCTGTTTAAAAGAAAAAATGAATTTTATAAATTTACATAATTTAAAATGGTTATGGTTAAAATATTTTTTGAAAAGGTTGAGTTCAAATATGAAATAGTCAAGAAAAGGAGGATACATAATCCTCACTAACTGGCAATTATTTGTTTCTCTAAAGCAAGTTTCAATTATATGTATATTCCCTGTTGACATTAGCTACTTCTCAGCAATTTATGGAATGTAATTTTGCTTTTCTTAAGCACCACTACAAATTTGTTTTTTGTTTTTGCACCAGGAATTGAACCCAAGGGTGTTTAACCACTGAGCCACATTCCCACCTTTTTTTTTTTTTTTAATTTAGAGACAAGGTCTCACTAGGTTGCTTACAACTTTTCTAAATTGCTGAGGCTGGCTTTGAAAATTTTCTTTTGATATTTGTAGGATTTGGTTTTGTGATCATCTCTCTCGACTCCTACACTGAAATGAATATTTGCTTTTCAACTTTCTGTCACTATAACAAATACTTGAGATTAATAAACTTGGGAAAACGTTTATTTGGGCTCAGGGTTTTGGAAGTTTCCGTCCATGATCTGTTGCCCTGTTGCACTGAGCCTGTGGCCCATCATGATGGAAGTGTGTGACACAACAAAACTGCTCCTCTCATGACCAGAAAGTGAAAGAGAGGAAGAGAAAGGGGTCAAGGTCCCATTATTCCCTTTGAGGGTGTACCCCAAACACCCAAGGACTCCCCACCAGGCCCAGCCTTTTAAAGTTTTCACCACTTCCTGACAACTCCAAGCTGAGTGCCAAACATTTTAGCACCTGGACCTTTGGGGGGGGCACTGGTCCAAACCACAGCACTTATGATATTCATACCACACACATGTGGGGTTCTTTTCACACATAAACACAATGAAAGTAAATATTTTAAAACCAAAAAAATTTATTTCTTCTACCCTTGCCTGGGAATGGCATATAGGTCAGAACAATAAAAGACTGGAGTGGAAAAAAATAAACAAAACTAAACATGATGTTTTTACCAATGAAAAGTGGTGGCTTTGACCTCTGGAATATAATAAAAAACAAGGAGATGAAGAATTCTCAGCATGTCTTGTGTCGGCTCACTGATGGTCCACAGCACCACTCCATTTCTTTCTGAGTATAAAAAGCATAAATCTTCCCATGATCCCCTTCTCTGTGTTCCCCTAGGTTAGAGTTTGCCAATAAGAAGAAATTACTGGAGAGTTATAGATGGAGATGAAGAGGAAACCCCCATTTTTCCACAGGTGTGTTACACCAGGTGAATGGATAGGTGGAAGATTCAGAGTGGCTTCCTAGCACATTTTTGAGAATGATCTACTTTGCCCGAGAGAGCTGGTGTTAGGTTTTAAAGATTCTCAAGTATTGCAGCAGATCCAAGAAAGCTTCTGAAAGGTAACTGTTTGGTGCTCTAGGCTGGAACCTTCAGTGCCAGCCTCTCCAAACGTTGGCGGCTGCTTTTCTGACTCTACCTCCCCATTCTAATCCCCAGTTCCTTCAACAATCCTGAGAATCCCCTATTCTGCATGAAACACTGTATATATGAGAGACATCAAGTGACATTTATTATGATGACTGACCCCTGATGATATAGAGACAGTCACAAGAATGGAAAAATATTCAGTTAACTAAATATTACAAATGACCAGAATATCCAATGTATCATCTTAATGCATAAATACTGAATCAAATTTCAAAGTCAATTATAGGTTAACTGAATGACATTTTTTGCTTTTCTCTAACATTGACGAGTCAGATCATTGTATATGCTATTAGTTTCTTTGCTCTTCTCAATGATGATCAAATAAACTTTGAGTCATCTTCATCTTTTTCTGAATGAAATATTTCAATTCTTAACATATAGGCTTGGAATTCATATACTTGATGTTATTCAATGATGTTTTATCTGCAGTAAGAAGAGGGAAACAAGTTCAGTGATTAGTAGAAAATCCTTTAGCCCTTGATCTTTATTTTCTTACTCCTTCCCTCTGACTTCATAGAGTGCTTCCAGTTCTATCTGCCACTACACTATTTTTTGTTTTCATAAGCCTGGGATTTAATCAAGATCATATTTAAAGGTCAGAGAAATTGTAATGAATAGGACTTGAATATGATTTGATCTTGGCAAAACATTCCATTCAAGAAATGGGTTTTAACCCATCCCCCTTCCCAATATCCTTTGTGGAAGACTATATATTCAAAATGCATTTTAACATTTTTCTCAATTCTCATTCTCAATCCTTTTCCTTCACTACCTGTCTCTGTTCCTCTATTCAATGTGATAAACTATTGCATAGTGTTTGCTACGTACTAGGACCTGTACATAAATTAGGAATTAGGACAGAAAACATATCTTTTCTATTGATATTTGTAAATTTAAGAGTAGAAGCCAATATCCCATATTAGAGATGACGTAACTGAGGTTCAGGCAAGTTAAATAACTTGCCTAAGCTCACACAGTGAACAAGCAGCAAGGCCAATTGGAAGTACTCCCAACAGCAACGCAGGTTATGACATTTCTTAAAGCTTTTCATCATCCTGCCCATTTTAGCACCTCTATCTTCCTTAGTCTGTTTTCCTCTTGCTCTGTGTCTTTTGTCTCTAGCCCAAAATTCCCTATTTAATTAAAATTCTAGCAATCTAATTTGCATCCTCCACTTTTTTCCCCCATCCACTCTCCCAAGGTGCTAGAAGAAGGACCAGGGCTATTAGCCAGCTTGGAATCTCCTTTAGAAAGCTGGGAGGAGAAGCAAGGGAAGGCTTTAGGGAAGGTTCTGTGAATACCCATGGGTCATGGATGCTTTTATCCCTGCTAAAGAGAATTTTTTTACCCTCTGTTTAAGAGCCAAAGAATATTAAAAACATAACTAGGAACAGTGGTGCATGCCTGTAATCTGAGTGACTTGAGAGGCTGAAACAGAAGGCTCACAAGTGGAGACCATGCGCAACAGAATGCCAGAGTGAGGACTGAAGCTAAGTACCAGGGAGAGTGGGTTACAGTGAGTCGGACACGTGGTCCTACTCCTTCTCACTCTTTCGTTTCTCCATGACCTTCTGCTCCTTTTCCCTGATAAGACTCAAGGTGTCATCATGGAAACAATAATGGGGGTGAAGATGATTTATTATTTTTATTATTGATCATATGAGGAAGGACTCAGAGAGCAAATAAATACAGAAAAAAAAAATAGAACACAGAGAAGCTACCTACTTTAGTACTGTCAAAGTGGAGTAAAGAGCTTTTGAAGTTATAGGGTTTTCTGTTCCATCAAAGGTTCAAATAAAATTAAAGTAAAATACAGTGAGGCTGTCTTCAAATCCAGAGAACTCAAGCTTTTATGTTTGTTTTTCACAATAGTATCTAATAAAATAAGTACTCAATAACTTTTGATTTTTGATTTCCAGTCCAGAATCCTATTTTGATGTTTTTTATTTTATTTTACTTTTTTCTCCCTGGACCCATATTCTTGCAGGATAAACACCAGTGCTAGGAGAAAAACATACATAAATCTACTTTGCTTCTAAGTCAGATGGATTCAGTATCCATCTTCAAGAAGAAAATTTATTATCATTTTTCAAATTATAATATTCTAGCACACTTTGATATTCATGACCCTTGGGCCTTTTGAAGTGCTAAATAACATACAATCATTTTTTTAAAAAATTAAAACTCCTGCATTTAGCTTTAAGAAATCATTGCTTTTGCTGTGTGTGTGAAGCAACTCTGGTATGTGGAGGAATTAGGAGAAAAAACATATCTTGTCCACTGACATTTGTAAATTTAAGAATAGAAACCAAACAGAATGCAGTTTAATTTTATATGCAGAAATATGATCAAGGGAAAGTTTAAATAGGTGATTCTAGCACTGGCTTTACAAGTAAATGGTGGACAATTTCAGCAACTCTAAGAAAACCTCTGTTCTTATCTTGGTCCCTTGATTCCTGAAATACAAAGAAATCCTACTTCTAATGATAGCAAGAGTTTCTATCATTTTCCTAGAAATGAATTTTAACAGAAAGCAAATGAGAAAGCATTTCTGTCAGGGAAAATAGTGAGAATAGATAAAATTTTGTGTCACATGACCCACTGAAAATGTTTAGGGCCACCACCAAATCAATAGTGATTCACTAATTTAAAAGTAGTGGAGTTTTTTGAGAGAGATAAGGGTGGTCTCTTGATATGGTATTTGACCAAAACATAAATAAGTGATTTCTTATGTCCATATTTTGGAATATTTGCTCCATTGTCATGAAATCCTGCATTATACTTGGCAGTTGTACCTATACTCTGAAATTCTCATATCAAAATTTTGTGTGAAAACTCTAAGATAACACTAGAACGATTATTTTTAGTTTTAGAGGCAAATATTCAACCTCTATACATTAGTCATCTTTTCATCTCCATGACCAAAATTCCTGACAAGAACACCTTAGAAGAGAAAAGATTTAGTTGGGCTTATGGTGTCAGAGCTTCTCTGGCCTGCTACAAGGTATCATGGCAGAATGGCATGGCAAAGAAAGTTGCTCAGCTCCTGGCATGGGTGGCAGAGTAGGGGGGCAGACAGACTGACAGCCAGAAGGGGGCCAGGACTAGAACAGATAGAGTCCCCAAGGACATGCTCCCCACCCCCCATGGCCTACTTTCTCCAGCCATGCCCCATCTGCCTATCTTTTTTTTTTTTTTAAACCACTTTCTAATACATCCATTGAAATTATTAATCCTCTGATGAGGTCAGACTCTCATGATCCAATCTTTTACTACTGAAAATTGCTGTGTTGCCTGACACATGGGGGACATTCTAAATGTTAAGCATAATACCTTGTATGCTTTTTATTCTGGAAATAAAACATTAACAGGGTTAATTATGTAGAATATGTAGAGTAGATATGCAAATGTTATATCTAATATTTGCTTTCTTTTTAAAGTTGAGGGAAAGGGAGAGAGAAGGGAAATTGCATGGAAATGGAAGGAGACCCTCAGGGTTATACAAAATTTCATACAAGAGGAAGTGAGGGGAAAGGGGAAAATAATACAAGGGGGAGAAATGAATGACAGTAGAGGGGGTAGAGAGAGAAGAGGGGAGGGGAGGGGAGGGGAGGGGGGATAGTAGAGGATAGGAAAGGCAGCAGAATACAACAGACACTAGTATGGCAGTATGTAGAAACATGGATGTGTAACTGATGTGATTCTGCAATTTGTATACAGAGTAAAAATGGGAGTTCATAACCCACTTGAATCAAAGTGTGAAATATGATATATCAAGAACTATGTAATGTTTTGAACAACCAACAATAAAAAAATTAAAAAATAAAATAAAATAAAAAATAAAAAAAAAATAAATAAATACCTGTACTTTCTTTTCACATTTGACTCCAGAATATCCAGTCCGGCAAGAACACACGTTGGGAAATGCACATCTGCCTCCATAAAGACATTTTTGATTACAAATTGCTGCAATACACAATTTTTATAATTAACATCTTTTGATAGTGAATGCTTGTGACATATCCTGTTTTAGGGGTTTAAAGATATTTGATCAATTGTAGTAATGGCCATTGATATAGTCATAAGAAGCTGTCATATTACACATGTATACATGTATTGAAACATAATATGATACTTGATAAGTGTATCAGTTAAAAATATATAAAATGAATGACTGTTGACCATAAAAATAAAAATTATGTAAGCAAAATATGTATCCTTAATTTTTCTAGTGATTATATTAACAGAAAATAAGCAGGTGAAAATAATCTATTAGTGAATCATCCATGGATCTCACACACACACACACACACACACACACACACACGAAAAAACAAAACACCCTAAATTCAGACAATATTTTTACAATTCTATAAAGGTATTATTGAAATAAGCCAAATTTCTTTCATTTTTTTTAAGTACTGGGGGTCGGGGGTACTCAACCATTAAACTACACACCCCTCCCTTTTTCATTTTATTATTTTTTAAAATTTGAGACAGTATTTTGCTAATTTGCCAAGACTAGCCTCAAACGTGTGATCCTCCTGTCTCAGACACTTGAGTTACTGGGATTACAGATGTGTGTCACCATGACCGGCTTTACTGGCTACTTTTTAGAGTACTTGAAATACATGTGTTTTTTTTTTTTTTTTAACAAGGAGTTCAAATAGAAGATAGTATTTATAACTTTCTTTTTAACAGCTTGGAAAAAATTTAAAAGAGACAATTCAGGACTGGTTTCTGTATGGAAAAAAAAACAACAAAATTTTATATAATATCCTCGACTGTTTAATGTATAACAACTGTTGGAAACTTAAACTTATGACACTGTACTAGAAATTTCTTTCTTGAAATATCCTCCAAGGCCATTCTAACCACACACACACACACACACACACACACCAATCTGCCTATTTATTTTTCTATCATCTATCTTTAAAAAATGTTTTTCATACTTATAAATAATTAAATGTGCAACATAAAGGGAAAGATTAAGTAAATTATGATATTTATATTATGGAACCTAATGTGTGGTTTAAAATTATGTTCTTTTAGGACCTAGTAAACGTTTTGAAGTGATATTGAGTGAAAATGAGCAGACTATAAAATGACATACAATACAATTGCTTTTCATGGGAGTGATACTACTTCAATGTTTCATAATAAAAGCTTAAACATTTCAAGAATAATATTCCCTTTTGATATAAATGCAACACTGACAGCTATGTTTTCATCAGGGCTGCCATATATAGTCAGCTGGGTTGTGTGCTGCACAAGTCCTCCATAGCTAAGGAGGCACTCTTAGCCATCATACATGGAAATGGTTATTACAACAACTTTCCAGCAGATGGCAGTAACACACATGTTTATTTAAGACAAATTTCTGGACAAGCAATTTTGAGGAAGTTGATGTTAGTTTGTTTTAAATTTACATAAAGATGCTTCAGTGTACTTGAATCTGTGCACAAAAAACCTCAGTCTATGATCACTCGGGTCTATTTCTACATCCCTGTGCTTTTAGCATCTTCTCATCGTTCTCATGATCTGCATAGACCACTCTCCAGAATGAGCAACCCAGGTTGAGGTTGATTGTTCTTCCATTCTAGCTATTTATCGTGTCTAACTTCCAATCACAATTATCAATTTTTGAGCACACATTTCTTATGTAAGTACTTGTCCTCAATAGTACTTTGATATATTTTCTAAATAAGAAATAATAAATTATAGTAACAATTACAAATACAATTATCGCTAAGAGTCATTATATGCAAAATTTCTGATGCATGAAAACCATAGTGTGGTTCATAAGACATTTTCTTCCAAAGAGACTTATTTCGAGTAAAAGGCATAATTATGTATCAATTATAAATTTCAATTGGCCAGCAAATTTGAAATTATGTAATTATTGATCTTTGAAGGTGTTTTTGGAGGCCTTCATGTTTTTCCCATTAAGTTAATCTTTGTTAATATTTTAACATGTTATTTAAAGTTTTCAGAAATTTCAAATGTGGATAAATTTTATTTTTTCTATAGCCTAAGATTTACTCTATGAATAAATATGGATGGAAATACACAAAATACTAAAAAAGTAACATAAGATAATTCTGGGTGGTGAAATTTGGAGTGATTAATTTTTTGCTATTTTTTCCATAGTTTCTAAGATTTCCATTATAGATATATATTTATCCTATAACAAATAACATTTGAACTTCTGCATATTAAACTTTCCTTAGTCCCATCTAAGGAAACTGCACTGGCAACCCACAGACCATAATTTGAAACCATGCCACAAAAAATTATATATTATATCATACTTTCTTTTTTATAAGTAAATATAAAATTGGGTTTTTTTTTTTTTATTTCTAAAGTCACTTAGGGGGATAGTCCCGGGGCTTGAACACAGGGTGCTTAACCACTGTGCCATATCCCCCAGCCCTTATTTATCTATTTATTTCATTTTGAGACAGGGTCTCACTAAATTACTTAGGGCCTCCCTAACTGCTGGGGCTGGCCTTGAGCTTACAATCCATCTTCCTCAGTTTCCCGAGTCACTGGGACTATAGACATGAGCCACCATACCCAGCTGTAAAATAAATTTTTTTAAAAGAATCAGTAATCTGTAGTTTTTTCCATTATGGATTTCTCCTAAAGTCATATTTAATTATTATAATGGGTTCCAATATGAATATATAGTAGAAAAAAATCCTGTGGGCTTACGTATTTGACACTGCGCTCCTTCCCAGGTGGGAGGACAGTGGCAGATGCTGGGGGCAATGCACTCACCACCGTTTTTACATTTGTGAAAGCAAATAGCTACAAATAGAAATATAAACAAGTTAAAATTTTACATTACTACTCAAATCTTATCATAAGCCACATGAATTTTAATTAAAGAAAAACAGTTAAAAGTCAATAATTAATGGATATTTTATCAAACAACACTTTCCAATGTTACTATGTAGTCCTAGAAAATGTGATTTTAATGGTTGTGCAATAATATACATTCTGTTATTTGAAAGTATTGTGGTATGTTTCCTTCAATTGTTGGACATATATGTTAATTCTCATTTTTCACCTTGATCTATGCACTATAATTGCTCCTAATTTAGAGTAATTTTATAGAAAGGATAAAAGGAAATATTTGAATGAGAAGTGCCATCATCTCAGGTACTAATCAGTCTGAGAGGCAGTAGGATCTCTCACTTGAAAAAGTCTGAATTGCATGGTTTCTTTTGATGCCAAGGAATCCGCAGTTTTTTAAACTGCCCACTGAGCCCTACTTCAGTTTAGGAGAATATAATATAAAGACTTTGTTATTTATTCTGGGCAAACAAACGGTTGGAAACTAGGAAATACAATGTATGACTTCCTCTGCTGACCTGAAAAACTAGGTTCAGAGAACTTCTCATTTTATTCTATTTCAAAGATATCTTCTAATCCAGGAATGAATACGCCAAAATTAAAACAAATAAAAACAAAGAAAACTTTTTTTTGTCTTATATTTTGCTTAATCTTGCCACAAAGGATGTAGACATTGTTGTTTTTTTTTAAGATATCTATCTTTTTTAAAAATGTTATTGTATTTTCTTATACCTTTATTTAATTTACTTATTTTTATTTGGTGCTGAGAATTAAATCTAGTGCCTCAAACATGCTAGGCAAGTGCTCTACCACTGAGAAAAAACAGCAGCCCCGACTTTGGCATTTTAAGAGTATTCTTCTTACGTATATTGCATCTTTTCCCACTCCAACCGGAAGAGCAGGAGCAAATGTTTGGTCCCACACATTTTCCTCCATTCATGCACATGGGATCACAGATGCCTTAAGGGGAAACATGAAATATTAGCTTTAAATGGCAACAGTTTTATTTGCTTTACCTGTAGTCTGCATATAGGTTTAGCAGTGTCTTACTTTTTTGGCATCGCCTACCAGTGTATCCTTCACAGCAGACACACACATTATTTCTCATGCAGTGGCCACCATTCTTGCAGGGAGGGTGACAGATAGCTAAAAAACACATGGCAGCAACGTGTGAATATTACATATTCAGTTATTATATATTGCATATTGCATCCTGTGCTTGCTATCTATGGGGCCATAAGGCAGAGGAATGTGCTATTAAAATAAAAGATTACAACTACAAGTCATTAAAACTGTCCTTTCTAAATCATAAAATATGATGCTTATAGCCATAAGCTGCTAGTGGGTTAGCACAATTTGAAATGTATGGGAGTAGTATTCATAAAAAATGAAGTCCTCAGTATTATAGTATATATATTATGAACCTTCACTTTCGTCTGGTCTTACCACACTGTGAAGTAAATGAAGCATAAAATGATCAGGACACAACCAAGAAAATAAATCAGAACTTACCTCAAAATACGAATGTTTTGCTCTCTTGGAAATCAGAAAAATCTGTACAATTTGTCACATATCACAAAAATATATCCAAAAAAACTTTAACTTTTGAACACTTTTGAGACAGTTTAATATGACTGGCTCTTGTGAATCCTTGATAAAATCTTTTGACAATAATTCTTAGTGGTTGTTAGGAATATTTCTTAAAAACTTATAATTTACTAGTATCTTCTGTTTTTAGGATTCTGTCTCATGAAATTTAGAGGTTGAGTTATTTTATGAAAGGATTAACTTAGTGTAGGTTTTTCTTTTTTCTTTCACTTCTTTTTTTTTTCCCTCCTGGGAATCAAATCCAGAGCTTGTACATGCTAAGCACATGCTCTAACTCTTAGCTACACCACCACTAAATGCAGTTATGCTTTTCTCCTTCTTTCCTTCCTTCCCTTCCTCTTTCCCTCCCTCCCTACCTCTCTTCTTCCTTCCTTCCTTCCTTTCATCCTTTCTTTCTTATTAATATGAGACAAAAATGCGTGGAAATTTTTAAATTCAATTTTCCCTAGAATGATAGTTAAGTGTATTTTAGTTTATATTTTTAAAATTAATTTCAAATTGACAGATTTTAGTAATGGGACTGTCATTACCAAAAGACTGACTTCCAGTTTGAATTAGACCCACCTTATTAGCTGCTTTCTTCACTTCTAAAGACTGTAAGAAAAATCTCACTGACATCAAATAGATTTATAAATAAAAAGCAATTCAAGTACAAAAAACAATATAAATGGATGCTTTTAGAGAATGGATAGTTTCCACTATGTTATACTGACCCTTTTCTAGCTTATGCTTAACTCTACTTTCTCTGATATTTTATGAATACTTTCTTATTTTTTAAAGCATTTGTTCAACAATCTTTATTGAAGCATGGAAAAGAAAACAGTGACAGTAACCTGTCTTTAGCTATGACACGGAGTTAGGTTAGATTATAGATTATTTCTCCCAATTTTTCACTCCTGTTTAGCCATGCCTTCTTCCAGGTGACTTTGTACCCACCACATTGGAGGTGGGGTTTATTTTCTCATCCTGTAGTTATTGGGTTTTGCCACAGGACTTAATTTGACCATTGGCCTGAGAGCAGACATGATATAAGCAGACACTCTAAATATTCAGGGTAGTTTGCCTTGGCATCTTGCTCTCCTGGTTTTTGCTTGAGAAAGGCAAACACCAGATAGATGTGGGTCTCTGGAGGAAGACAGACAGGTGAAGCAGTCTACAGTCAAGTCCAGACAACCTGTATTGTTTGTGAGTAAGGGAAATAAATGCATATTGCTGGACACTAAGATTTGGAGGATTGTTTGTTACACATCAAATACTGACTGATAAAAAAACCTACACATGGAGAATTATAAACAGGTATATGTTATGTTTTATTAGTGGTAGAATGTTCTTATGTGTTCTCTTTCCCATTCTTTACATAATTTAATATGATTTCTATTTATTAGAAAAAAGGTCTTTTTTTTCCACTACAGAAGCACCATAGTAAATACCTATGATTGGGAACTTAACACTAAAATAATAAACCCCAAGTTGCTTATGGTATACAGACTTATAACAATTCACAAAGTCTTGAGTGTAGAGACAAATACATCTATACAAAAAGCACATATGATTGAAATTATATATATATATATATATATATATATATGGAATAAAATTTGAACTTAGTCATCTAGCCATCATCCCAGGTTAGAAAAGGAATTTTAGGAGAAAACCAACCCTCCTACCAGATTCTTCAGGCCTCAGATGGTTCTCCCAACAATGCCCAGGTTGAACCAAGTAATTGAGGATTTTAGGAGGTGAAGGAAACTGGAAGATGTGGTTATACATCTTCAGCCATACACTTTAACCCTGACCTTTTTTTTTTTAAAGAATAGTATAATAATATTGTGATGTTCCCAGCTAAATTTTTGTCTTCCTCTTTTGAAATTCTATTGTACAAACAGTCCCTCGTATTTACTTTTAATCACATTTTGCCTAATTTTATTCAACTTCTTTTGATGTGTGTCATCTTCCCTGCCCAACATTTGGACTCACAGTGGATATAATGTAATAGTGTTTAGGTGAAACCTGAAAGCCAGGAAATATGAAGCCTGAAGATTTACAGGAAGTTGTCAAAGTCTATGCCAGCTAGGAAGTTGCAACAGGGGGCAATTCTCATACTTGCTCTTATCTCACTATAGCAACCTGCTGTTGAAAAAAGGCATATGTTCCATAGATACTTTTTAGTTCAACTAAATTACTTAGAGATTCCCTCACAGTTGGCATATAGTTTTGAGAAGAACTTTTCTATGTCTTACATCTGAAATTAGCAAGGCACATGTAAGCTTTTCATTTCTCTCCTTATTTTTTCTACTTAGAATTATACTTATAACTCTTCACCATGGATTTAATTGCAATCTCTTAGCTTCTAAGATTTGCCTACTTAGTCTTTGCTTCCTCCATTTCACAATGAAGGAAATATGGATGAGAGGATATGTTCTCTAGGCCCATATGTCTTGTGTTTCAGTGATGGTTTCTTCTCTACTTCAATTTCATCTTAAGAATCCTGGCCAACTTCCAAATTAAAAAATAATAAGAATTGGAAATCAAATTCTATCCTGGCAAGGAAAGTATAAATTTTATGAATTAAATTATGATGATGTGCTTATATGTTCTGTACTAAAAAGTTAGCTCTATATTTTGTGTAACTCAAATATGAAGATATAGAAAATATATTTTTAAAAATTTATTGACATTAATTCCTACCTATACTCTCACCCTCAAGACATTCCCATTACTCTGAAGAAAGCCCTACAGCATTAACTATTTGAAGGAAATAATGGGCCACAAAGAATATGATGCATTTTTATGTCTTCACACCATCTTTCAGAGAGGTGTGCATAGATGACTCTTCATAAATGTTTAATGAAACTAAAGTCAAGAGAGATTGTGGGAAATCAATAGACAGTAGCTTATAAATCAAACATTTTTGCTATGACGGCAAGTAAAATGATATAATTTCACTGGAAACTGCATGAAAACTTTGCTTATTGGTTTCATATCTTTGTTCTACAAAGCACTGACAAATGCCAAGGTTGTAAGCCTAACATACATTGAATAAATAAAACCATTTTACTTAATAACTCCAATACCCTTTGTATGAGCTGGTCATTTGATGGCTAGACCTGCAGCATCATAATATATAGAAGAAACAAATAGCATCTTCCACTTTCAAACTTCTCTAATGTTTTCTCAAAGCTCTATTGATGTCTAACATTCCATTTGACTTTTTGACTTATCAAGAATCATTACCATTCTGACAGTGTGCACCAAAAAATCCATTCAGGCAGAGGCAAGTGTTTGGTTTATAACAGGAGCCACCATTGAGGCAAACAGGGTCACATAAAGCTAATGAACAGCAAAAGGGAAAGAGACCATAAAAGTATTATTATTTTAAAAATGAAATTTAAAAAGGAAAGCTGCACCAAAATGGAGCTCCATACAAAATGGAGCACCTATAATTAATTAGACTTTGCCAAACATAAGAGGCATGAAATAACTGCATAATAGCTTTCAAAGTGTATTCATTAAGTTTACAAATAATATTAAACTAAAAATGTGGAGTGTATGAATAGAATTTAGAATGCCCTTGTTAAGCTAAAAAAAAAAAAGACTGTAAGTTAAGAGAACATGATTCATTCAATAGCACTAATGAAATGACTTGTAATCTGCTGGAACCAGTGGGGCTAGGTGTACCTCTTTGTCTCCTTCCCAAATGAAACAAGGACACTGCACTCAGGTCCCAGCACTCTCAAAAACATTTCTTTGTATTTACTCCATTACCTTTGTTTTATTTAAAAAGCACCCCATTCCATTTTTCAGCGTATTCCAAAGTCTACTAGAATTTTATTTTCTTCCAAACTCCACTTGCCAGAACTGATTTCCATCTTTGCTTTTAAGTAACGATATTACTTATCATAACCCTACTTGTCCTGGTCTTGTGTTTTTTACAGCTGCATCCCAGGTCTCCTTCACTATCAATATTCTACTTGAAATGAGGGCAAAATCAAATTGGTCTTTGTTTCCCTTTGCATCATGATTCACATACAGTTGGCAAACTATGAACGTTGAATTAAATTTTCATTGAGAAAAGTCATTAGAATAACTGACAATTAATTAAACATGAAAAACTGCAAATATTGCTGCCAAAGAAGCAAATCTGATACTGTGATAAATAAATGGAATAACAGGAATGGTTGTCTGTATAACTAAGAATTGATTGGACGTTTAATGAAATAGGGTATATATGCTGTGATTTAAAAAATTAATCTTAAAATAAACCTCTAAAACACAACATAGTAGATGTTTTGAGTCCATAGTAGGGTGATATTTATAAAGGCAAAAAAAAAATACAAAACATTGGTTGGATAACAATAAAGCTATAAGACACAATCCAGTCCAGTATAAGAAGATGGAAGTTACTTATCAGATCAGTTTCATTTCTTAGATGCAAGTCTTTAGAACATTGGCACATTTTAAATTTCTTTTCATGAAACATTCATTGCAAACAACTCTGATTTTACCTGTACTACAGGTGGGTCCATACCAACCAGGCTTGCATTGACAAACATCTGGTGCGAGACATGCACCTCCATTTTCACAGTGCCTATTGCAAACCACTAAGACCCACAGTGAAGATAAAAGAAAGACAAGTTAGGCTAAGAATGCTCACCACCATTCTAACTATTATATAATTATCTCATGACTGCCAAATGTTTTTGCTAATGAATAAAATGGGAATAATTTATACTTTGGCTTTAAATGCTCTTCCCTTTTCATATTCAGTTATTTTCTCACTAATAGAGTTGGGGATAGAAGAAAACCATTGAACTGAACAGTCAACAAAATTGGCTCTTAGGGGAAATTATTAGCTACTGGTGAAAATGACTATAGACACAAATGAAATGAGATAAATTTATCTACAAATGAGCACATTTGAATTCATCTTATCTCAAAGGTGGGTTTAAGAATAGTTATTTCTTAGAACAAACTGCTCCCAATGCTACCCAGGATGGGAACTGTCATCATAGATCATGAAAGACTGTTTTTTACTTAGGGTTTGGGTTCATTCCATTTAGTGTTATAGTGTTAAAGAAAAGTTTATCAAAGCAGCAAGTTCATTATAGCAGACTGCAAGGGGAGATTGGCTTACTTGTTTCACACCTTGATCCCACAAAACCATAAGCACAAGTACAGAGATTGCCAGGCAAGCATGTGCCACCATGTTGACAAGGTGGGCTACAATGTTCTGCAGGAACAGATTACATTATTAAGTAATTATTATTAATAATAATCACAATGAATTATCCATTTATATTTAAGAAGCACAGTCACAATAAAGCCTATTGTAAGAGCAGTTTATAATGACTTCAGTTCTCTTTGACAATGAGATTCAGTTCTGTGGGACTGACTGTGTGGATTCACACTCTGAAACCTTCACCAGGTATCAGCATGTTTGGGTTTATAAAATAAATCTAGAAAATGCAACACAGACAGTTGTGTAAAAGGTTTATAAAAATTTGGTTAACTGAATGGAAATATATCATCTTAGGCTTCTTCTGTAAAATGAATCTTGGACTTACATATTTCTACCCTAAAAAAAGAATATTTATATATTTACATGGCTATCACCACAGGCTATTGTTGAAAGTTTCAGTTCAACCTAAAAAATTTAGTTTGTTAATGTGCTGCTTGCCTTGTCATTAAAGCATTTAACATGACTCAGTTTATTAGTAATCATATGTACCATCTAACGAAATATATTGTTTTTAAAAAAACTATTTTGAAAATAACAACTAACTCATTTCTTTAAAGTATTACCTAGCTTTAGGAATTCTATTTCATACATTCTTCACTTAATATTTCACCTAAAGTCATGCAAATTATATGGCTAAAGATGTATTTTTAAAATTATTTTTAAGTTTCTTCTTATTATCACCTTATATCTTCTTATTTGTAGAGATATGATACCCTAAAACCAAATCTTCAAAAAATTTCAGAAGATAATTTCACCAAAGAAAAGCTACTATTCTTTGGATCTCTGATTTCTGAAACTTAAGTTTTTAAAATTCTCAAATGAATTGTTTTTTAGTGAACACTTAAAAAGTGGGCTCTTTCACCAATATTAATAACTACATATTAGAATATACACAGTGAAACTGAATTATCTTATAAAAGCATATTAGAGAAAATAACAATTTGTTTTAACCCTATTAGTTGATTTTTTAATTTGGATTACCACCTTCATTGCACGTTGTTCCACCATATCCTGGAGGACATTTGCAGATGTTAGGCTTCATGCATTTCCCATGGTTTTTACAAGCAGGCTGACATACAGCTGTATAAAATAAACCCATTTAGAAATATCAATTATCAAATAAAATTCATTTTTCAATTTAATGAATGATAAACCTACCAGTTTGGCAGTTGGAACCGGTATAACCTGGTCTGCATTTGCATATGTTTGGTGCCACACATTCCCTGCTCCTTCCACATGGATGTCTACAAACAGCTGCAAAAATCAAGGAGAAATGGCTGAACCATTGACATGATATATACGTGCTGCTCAATTATTTACTTATAATGAAATTTAAAATTTCTCAAATTGGAACATTTTGATAAGGTATTAAATAATGACCATTCACCCATAAAATGGTCTTCTTAATATTTTTAACCATTAGAATGACTGAGGAAAATCATTTTTAGAGTAAGAAAGAAGTGCCAAGTGTAGTAATTACTTCCAAGATGGTGCCTGTTAGAGGTAGAACCTAACCCTACCTGAAATGATAGTCTTTTTTCAGGGGGCAATGAAATTTCAGATATGAATCAGCTAAATGTTAATAAATAATAAGGATAATCAGATTTTCAAAGAACACATCATGAGGTTGATTCCTTAAGCTTCTCTACTACCTGATATATTCTACTGGACATTTAACACTTCCTGTGGTATCTAATATACATGAAAGTGTTTTGTTTCATTTGTTAAGGAATTCCTATAGGTATTATATAATGTAAGTATTGAGAGTTATTATTCTTATGGAAAAAAAAAGAAAAACAAATTTCCTTTAGGTAATATGGGAAACATAGGAATATTCCAACAACTGTCTCACTTAATTTTGGTCTCAAATAAAACAAAACACAAAACAAAACAAGAACATCGAACTCATATCAACAGCAACAATAAAAACCAGACTCTAAATTATAGGACTCAAAAATTTGATTTGTATCAGAGAAAACAATGTTAATAATTGTGGAAAGATATAAAAATACTTGTAAAATTAAAATGATGCAAAACTTGTTTAAGACTCCAAAGAATTGGAAATAGACACAACTGTATAAGTTGCAAATAAGTAAATAGACCAGAATGAGTAATTTAAAATGGTAACTGTGTATTTCGAACTAAAAATAACTCAGGCCACAATGTTAATCAGATCTATATTGACATCCTTGTTTTTTTTCATTACTTGTTTAATAATAGGACAGTCAGTCCCTCAAAACTCCACTATTTCATCTGTCTATTGGGAACAATAACACTTATTATATGGAGTTGTTGTTTATTATATATAATTGATACAGAATGTTTCTGAAGATCTTGGGACAGAGTAGGTACTCAATAAATATATTTATATATCATATAGTTGGATAGTATATAATATTAACACTTTAAAAAAGTAACTTAGAAAAACCCACTTTTGCTTCTTTTTTCAAAACATGTTGAACAAAGTGGAAGGAAGAGAAATTAGTAAGTGGAAAAGTGTATCTTCTTAGTTACTAAAACTGGAAGGTAGTTTTCTCTGTATCTTCTGAAAAATTTTCATAGTACCTCTGCAATTGACACCATCTCCATAATACCCAGTGGGGCAGCGTCCACACTTGAAGTGGCCACCTGTGGTTGGCACACAGGAAACACCAAGAAAACAAGGCGACTCAGCACAAGTTGATATTTTGGTTGATCCAAACTTCTGTGGCAAAATAGTGACTGCTTTAGTAACTGATGCTACAAACTCATCTTCATATTGTGTGTAACCTTGCAAAGAACTGTTTATGAGAGAATGATATTCTCCTGTCTCTATTTGGATGGTGCTGTAGAAAATATCCCTCCCTTGGCCACGAGAACTGTTGGGATTAATGCTTAAAGAATGACTGTGGTTTGTAGGATCTTTCAATTCATCCACACTGAGATCTGCACTGAGAATATGATCCACATGTTCATAACCAGGTATCTGTTGAGAAACAGACTTCTTTGAATTATCCATCTGAGTCGTAATTGATTTTGGTGACAGGTAGGAGATGTTCATTGTACTCAAGAACCTTTTGAACGGAGGAGGACTAGGGGTAAATCTTGCACCAGTTAGTGAATGCTCTGTGGAAAGTGGCTGAAAATTCAAGTCTAACAACAAAAAAAAATGTATAAATGTTAGTCAACAGCATTTATTAATGTTCTGCTCTATCCACAATATTTGGCATTAAGTTCTTCATGCCTTCATTTAGCATCTACATGTGTAACACTATACGAGGAGTCACAAAGTAAAGGGAAGTCATGACACTGTTCCTGCCTTCAAGGATCTTATATGGCTACTTGTTGGGGCACTCAAGATAGCACAGAATAGTAGCTAGCGTGAAAGTTAAAGTATAATAATTAGTAAGATTTTCTGAAATCACCTTAAATGATACTATCATTTGGTTGTTATATGACATGAGTGAATACATTTTTCTAGAATATGATCCAGAGGATTCAATAGACTAGCAAAAAAAAAAAAAAAGTGAATACATTTGCCACTGTATTTCAACTAAAATCACTACTACTTACTAGAGGCATTTCTGCTTGTTGGCTTAATGTCATTTTCTCCTTGTTTGGCACTTTTACCATCCTCTTCCATAATTACACTTTTGTGAGACCTTGTGAGAACTGCAGTTTGTGTAGTAAGTTCATTTAAAAACTCTATTTCAGCTATAAGTGGGTACACAAAAAACAGAAATCAGAATAAAAATATCTCAAAGCCAAAGCATCATGAATAAAAACATACAAGAACATATAAAAATATATAATACACATGTCACATGGAACTCTTTTGCTTCTTAAAGAATCAACTTTGATATTCTCTCATTAGCAAACCTTCTGGTATAGACTGAATTGAGTGCCTCAAAATTCATATGTCAAAGCCCTAACTCTACACGGCTGTATTTAGAGACAGGACCTTTATGGAAGTGATTAGGTTAAAGGAGGTTAGAAGAATGAGGCTCTGGTCCAATAGGTTTGCTGCCCTATGAAGAGGAAAAGACTCCAGGAGAATACACAGAGGGAGGGCCCAGTGAGGGGGCAGCTTTCTGTTAGCCAGGAAGAAAGTCTCAACCCAAACCAGCTAAGGCAGCAACTTCATCTTGAACTTCCTGTCTCCAGAACTATGAGAAACAAAGTTCTGCTGTTGAGATTTACCACTCAGTCTGTGGGATTCTGTTATGGCAGCCTGATCTGAGTAAGAAAGCTTTCTTCAGTAGTCCCAACACACCAAATCCATCTGGTCCACCTAGGTTCTTTCACAGGACTGTCCTTTGTGCTATTGACTCTTGTGCATGCCTTTCTCCTACTGGTTAGCAATAACCTTAAGAATACAAATCCTGCTCTACTTACTTTGGGGGGTGGGGGTGGGGGAGGTACCGGGGATTGAACTCAGGGGCACTTGGCCACTGAGCCACATCCCCATCCCTATTTTGTATTTTATTTAGACACAAGGTCTCACTGAATTGTTTAGTGCCTCATCTTTGCTGAGGCTGGCTTTGAACTTTCAATCCTCCTGCCTCAGCCTCCTGAGTCACTGGCATTACAGGCATGCACCACCACACCAGGTTCTGCTTATTTTTATATTCCTCAAATTCTGGTGCCTGCCATAACTAAGTAATCACCAACAACCAATTCTTCTGCAGCATTAAGCATCTTTGTGAAATACACAAATATCTCTGACAAGGTTAAGAAAGTTCTGAGTCACTCATGTGTAATGGGATTTTGTTTAATTGTCACCTTGATATAAGTTTTACTGAGGGAACAGTCCTCCCTGTTTGGAAAGGAGGGATGTTAATCAGAGAGCAGAAAGTGTTAAATTAGGAACTGGATACTGAAGGAGAAATGCAAGCAGTTGAAGTAGTGGGGAATCCTCTTACCCTCTGCCCTGTGTTCCTCAGAGCTGTCATCTCCAGTGCTAGACACACTCAACCCAATTTGAAGCTTAAGGTGATATTATGTCATTAATATCTATTTTTCATCAGAGTAGATCTCATTCAATTACACCAAATAGGTAATTCATTGATTTTGTTTTCTATAACTTATTTTTCTCTTACTTTTAATCTTTTAAAATATTGAGGTCCACCTTTTTTTGGTCCTCTTTCCTCCATATTCTCCCTGGGTAATGTCATCCCATAGTCCATGACCATAATAACTGTATATTTAACTTAGTCCTCTCTCCTGAGCTTCATATGGGTATTCTATTGTCCTTTAGTCTCTTAGTAACTAAACTGAATTCACTATAATTCTTCTCCAAAATCACTACTTCTTCCTGTATATTTAATCAGATCAACCTGCCATAACAAAATACCATAGACTGGGTGACCTAAACAACAGAAATTCAGTTCCTTACTGTTTTGGAGGCTGGAAAGCTCTGGATAAAAGTGCTGGCCTGTTCTGTGCATGTGAGGACCCTCTCCATGTATTGGAGATAGATATGCTCTCAATATATCCTTACCTGGCAGAGAAAGTTATCTGGTGAGCTGGGCATGGTGGTACAATGCAATAAGGCCAGCTATCTGGGAGGCTGAGACAGGAGGATTGCTAAGTGTGAGAGGGCAGCTTGATCAACTGGGGAGCCCTGCCTCAAAATAAAAAAAATATATATATATATATATAAAGGGTTGGAGATGAAGCTCAGAGACAGAAAGATCCCTGGTCCAATCGCCAGTTCAATAAAAAAAAAAAAGGAGAGAGAGAGAAAAAGAATTCTCTGGTGTTTCCCCTGGTAAGACATTAATCCTATTGGATTAGGACTCTACTCTTATCACCTCCTGTAACCTTATGAACTTCAATGTTAGAATTTTAGTGGAATGTAGTTCAGTCCACAGCAATGTGAGTGCCAATTCCACATACCATTCACCTAAATCAAATACCTGCAACTAAATGACTCTTTCCTATGCTAATCTAGTCGCTGACCAAGCCAAGTACTATCAGCTTGCTTCTTTAGCATCTCTTTCATTTCTCATTATCTTACCTTAAGAGAGAATATCTTCATCTCTCCCCTACATATTTGAAATACTATTTTGGCTTTGCTTTTCTTCCCACCTTCAGGCTTTCACATTTCTTTACCCACAGATGGTCTATTGTCTATATTACTTGAGTAAATTTTCTCAAATATAAGTCTTAACATGTTTCTCTCTTATTTCAAAATTTAAGGGACTGCTGCTGGTCTACATGCTGGCTACCTCTCTAGCTTCAACTCCTGCAGCAGCTCTTCGGGCCTGTGGTCCTCCAGGCACACTGAATTGTTCAGGGCTCAGGGTGTGCTGTGATGTTACATGGTCCTGGGCTTTTGCTCGGGCTATTTCTTCTTCCTGCAATGTTTTTCACCCCCTTGATCTCATACATTAGATTCAGCTGTTGTATATCTACTATAGTCTAGATATCTCCTTTTTAAAGTTTTTCATTATTCCTCCAGGTAAACACAACACATCGTGTAAGATTCCAGCTAGTCCCTCTTCTATCACAAGACACAGAATATTATATTGTACCAAAGGATTAGTGCTATTGCATCCTAACCCCTTAAGTCTGATATATCTCTGCATCCCATGCATCTAGTGTATTGCACAACACTTAATGCATATATACCAGATGAGTGTGTAAGAAAGAGAATGGAATTGAGTGATTTGAGCTAATTAAATGCAGCAGAAAACATATCACAGCAGAAAATAAACTTTTACCATGACAGGTTTTCCCATCACCATAAAATCCTTTTGGACATGAACCACAATGATAGGAGCCAAAGGTATTGAAGCACTCTACTCCTGGAAAGCAAGGCCCAGATGCACACTCATCAGCATCTTCCTGGCAGTTTTTGCCTAAACAGAATATAGATTAAAGAGTTCAAGTGATTTATTTTGAAATATGTCTATCAGGCTCATTTTTTTTGGTTTCTTCTACTATTTATTTAAGACCTCCCAGTCCCCACAGAGAAGTCATGCATTGTGAGGACAAAACTGTGCTGTTTTTGAAATTTACTGTATAATCACATGTAAGGTCATTGCTTAGATTTCATTTATGATTCAACTTGACCCTTCAAGTACATAAAAAAAATTGCCTATAAATAAGATGACTTAAAAGTCCATTAACATTTAAAGTAAAAGGTTATCATATTAGAGAATTCATTTGTAGTTCATTTTAAAACTCAGTGACTTTTTTCTTAAACAATGAAAATGGTTGTTTAGAATGGTTTTCACCTTCGCTTAATGACAACTTCTTTTATCCACTTCTTGCATTGTCTGTGAAAACTTGTGAAAAGTTTCCAATGTGTTAGAAAAGTCAGTCTTTCCTCAGTAAAACAATTGGAGATGAAGTTGTGCTCTTTCAATGCTTAACAATTTATTTGAATGAATAAATTCCTATCATTAAGAATAGTAACCCTGATTGTGCAAAAATCCCGGGTGCAATCAATACTTGCATTCTTTCAACAACTCAGTAAAAAAGAAATTTATATTCATAATTCAAAATGATAAAATATTCATTTAAAAGAATGAAGAAAATTAAAAGACACCTAAATATTCTGCTACCAGTTCTCTTAGTTACTTTCATTTTTTAAACATTCTGAATAATCAATTCTACTCTAAGAAAATATAAAATTAACTGACAGGTGCAGACCTCAAGTTTGCTATTAGAGTATAAAAACACTTTGGATACAGCATAAAAGACACAAGCAAATTTGCACTGCCCAGTCAGGATGCACCTCCTCTTCCATCTTAAATTACTTCTGTGTTGATCATCTCACTGCTTGCATGTGCTTGTAAGCTCTCCCGCTCCCTCTCTCTCTCCTCCTGCCTCTGAACTCTTGTCTCTTTCAGCCTCACTTTCTACCCCTGCACCTCCCTTTCTCTTATTTTTCCTTTAAGATACCAGTTACATTCCTCATTTGATTCCCTAGAATTTGATTCAGCCATCAATCATACCAATTTCCTATTCCTCTGAGGTCTTTCCAGTGGCTGAGTTCACAAGTTAGTAAAGTGGCTGTTTCAGGAGATAGGGAGAGTTCCCTTTAAGCTCATGAAACAATTTAAACTATATTTTTATATCTTCTTATGTTTAAAAAACTATCTGTCTTTCTTGCCCACTGGCTTAATAAATGAATAAAAAGCCACACTTCATCATATTGGTCACAAATACTCTGCTTGTGTCCTTGGTGCACTGTTGCCAAGAGACTGTATTTCTGGCTCCTGTTCTGCCCCTGTATATCCTTATACAGACAGTTTAATTTATCTGTTCTAATTTCCACAACCTCAATATGATGAGGTTAGAAACAAGATATGTTATGACCCCTTATATCTTTGAACACTAAGGCTTCCTACTGAATCAATTATATCATAGTCACTAAAAGAGACACTAATTCAGAAGTTATATTGCATTTCCTTGTCTCTTGCACTGATTTCTTCCTTAAATTTCCATTGTCTTCCAAAAATATTTCATGAGTCTTGCACCTAAGCAGTAAATCATCTGGCAAATGATCTAATATAGTAATGAAATTTACACATATAATGACAGTTTAATAGTATCATAAAGTGCTGTATAGGTTTTATCACTAGATAAAATTATATTGCATCAGGGAATAATCATGTTCCATTGTACTAATAATGTCTGATCATCCTATGAGGAAAGAGAACTTGGGCACCCATGTAGAATCATATCTAGTTGTGTTAAGGAAAGTGAAAAGGTTACCTGGTATATGGTACACAATTTGGAATGCTGTTTGGATGAAATGAAAAATCTCAATATTATTTGTATACAATATTATACTCATGACATCACAGAATAGTAGTGTTGGAAGGCACTTTATAGATAATTAAGTCAAGATATCTTATTTAATAAGTGATAGGTGCATATCCTCTAGAACTTCAATAGTTAAATGATTTATCAGAAAACTGAACAGAATTAAGGCTAGGAATAAGAAATGGTGTGTAACTGAACTAACAAATTCCATTTCTTCAATTAATAATTCACATTGCTGGGGCTGGGGTTGTGACTCAGTGGTAGAGTGCTTTGCCTCGCATGTGTGAGGCCCTGGGTTTGATCCTCAGCACCACATTAAAAAAATAAATCAATAAACAAAATAAAGGTATTGTCTTCATCTACAGTTTAAAATATATATTAAAAATAATTCACATTGCTTTCCCTATCAAATATTAAAATAAGTATCTCATATTCTATTTTGTATCATTGTTATAAAAATTATTTATAGTCACATGCCACTTAATTACAGGCATAAGTTCTGAGAAATGCACTGTCAGGCAATTTTGACATTGGGTTATCCAAAGAATGCTTACCAAAAAAAAAAAAAAAAGCAAAACCTAAGTCAGCTATGACATCACTAGATGACACATCTTCTGGGTCTACCATTGTACTTGCACACTGTGTAGACCAAAATGACATTATCTGGTGCAGGACTGTATATAAAAATATCCTCTCAATTTATAGGTTCTTGTAAGCATTAAGAAAGATGCTAAATGAAATACAGTGTTTATTAACCTTAAACACATTTATGTAACTTGTAGTTTAAAAGAATCTAGTTTAGGGATGTTTGGATAAATAAGAATAACTTACTTTCTAAAAACGACCAGGTAAATTTTGAGATTTGGGATCTACAGATCAAACAAGGACTGGTAGGATTTCTATCCCCTTCAGTGTAGCAGAGTCCACGGATAATGCAAACATTCTCCTAGTAAAAATTTTTTAAAAAGGAAAACATTAACAAACAAAAGTTGTAGTTAGTGTATAAAAAAACCTGTACATAAACTGATAGCAGCATATATATTTATGATTCCAATAAAAGCATGTAATAACAACTCCATTTTGATCAGATAACATTTTTTCACACCTCATGATCACAAAGCCAGGTCATAAGACAAATTATTTCCTGTCTGCTTAAATGCCTAAGAAACTGATCAACTTGTAGGAATAATAAAATGTATGTAAGTTGTATCTCTGTGCAAAATTATGCCTTATAAATAACATGGGGAAAACCTCCCTTTTCTTTTTGTCATCTTTACTGCTAAAATTCATGCTGGAAGTGCTTTATTAATGAAGAAATCAGAGGTGGGTGTAGTGGTGCACACCTGTTATTTTAGTTAGTTGGGACGTGAGGCACGGGGATCAAGATCAAGGTCTATGTAACAGTAAGACTATCTAGAAAAAGAAAGAAAAGAAATTTATTTATTTGACTACTTTTCATTTTTGCACATCTTTAAAATCACATTAATTTATAGATATCTTCCTCTTCCCCAGCAGCCCATTATACTAGACCATACATCCAAAGCATCATTATTCACACTTCATAATGGGTATCATTAAAAAAATAGTTGAAAAAATGCTGTAATACAGAGAAAGGACAATAAATATAGCAATAATTTTTTAACTTGGGAAATAGACAAATTTTTTCAGGAGATATAAACTTTGTTCATTTAAAAAATTTCCTTTGATATAATTTTGAAAATTAGAATAGTTCTAAGAGGATAAGACAACTTTGAATAACAATGTTTTTTAAAGTACTTAAGAACATGTGGAAATGAAATATTTGATGAAAAATAAAAATCCAATAATTTCTCAACAACAATAAAAACTTGTTATTGAAATAATGCGATCAATCTCAAGGAAAAGGAATTTAAATTTAGAAAAAATATACTTTTTAAATATTTATTTTCTGTAATACCATGGATTGAACCCCAGGGCTCTCTACCACTGAACTACATCCCCAGATCTTTTATTTTTTAATTTTGAGACAGGTCTTTCTAAGTTGCTCCAGCTGAACTCCAACTTGTGATTCTCCTGCCTTCACTCTTGAATAGCTGGGTTCACAGGTGTGCACCACATACTTGATATGTTCCTTGGTTTTGAAAAGTCAATTGATATTAGTTAAAGGTTTAAGCAATGCACATGGGAGAAAGCCCTGTTGATAAACTCAGAAGTCTTGATATGGATAGGTTCAGAGGGTGAGGCTATAACAACCAGGTTTAGGTTTGCTATTATTCTATAATTCATCAAGTGGTAGGCTTTTGCATAGTCCAAAGAATTTAGTTGCCAGAAAACTCTCTATAAAAGTGCTAATTTTATACATTTTGCAAACTATACTCAAATGTATAACATTTGCCACAAAGAGGATTAGGTAATCACAAACCACAAAGAAATATCTTTCTTTCCTTTCCTTTTCTTTCTTTTTCTTTTTTTTTTAATACTGAGGATTGAACCTAGGGGCATTCTGCCACTGAACTACATCCCCACCACTTTTATATTTCATTTTCAGACAGAGTATAAGTCTGGAATTTATAATCCTCCTGCTTCAGCCTCCTGAGTTTCTAGAATTAGAGGCATAAGCCCCTGTACTGGACCATAAAGAGAGATCTTTTGGAAACTGAGAAAACAGTGAATGTAGAAAGGAGGAAATAATTAAGTGCAAACCTCCTCTTTTGATTATTTTAGGAATAAGCAATCTGCACTCCAAAATGTTAAGGAAGAAACATCTTTTTTCACCATTTCAACAAGAGTTATAGGAAGAGTAAACATTTCAATTAACGTTAGGTGCATTTGAAGAAGATTTTCCCTATTAGTCTTTCTGTTATTAAGGTGAAAAGAAAACACAGTTGATATGCCAATGGCATGGGAAATTAAAATACCTATGATGTAAATGTGAAAATAAGTGAAAAGATACATACCTTTATAGTACATGAGTTATTTTTGTAGAGACCACAAACTTGACAAGCACCATCATATATGATCATTGTTTTGGAATTACTGAATTTATAACCATCATTAGATACCTGTAAGATGTAGTTCTATAATAAGATAACTTGTTCTAAATGCAGCCTCATAAATTATGAAAATCTGTATATAAGAATTTGCTTGGCTTATAAACATGAGGTTTAATTTATAGTTATCTTTTACCTTTAATTTTTTTTTACCTTTAATTGCCACTTCATAATTGGTTTCTGATCCATCACATCCATGGTATCAGACTGCTGGACATCACTGGGCAGCTGACAATCAACAGTTCTGCTGTTCTGAAAAACTGCCAGTGTATAGACAGGTTCTCCAAGCACCCATTTACTACTATTATACTGAAGGCAAAATGGGAAAGCAATTAACTTCTGTTACAATTATGAAAATATTTCAGTACTGAATTTCATATGATCAAAATACAAATTTTTAAAATATAATCCTAATATAATGGAATGTATAGTAAGGAAAAAAAGTCACATTGGGAGTGAGTTTTATTAAGAATGATAAGAAAGTATGCATCTTATTTTGATGTAAAGTGTTCCTAGGAAATCATGAATTTTCTGGTAGTTCAAATCAAAGGATTTACCAATATTGGCCACACGTTACGGATCACTCTGCAATAACTTTTGCAGCAAGAAAAATTATCATTTGACATTGAACTTGAGGCAACAGATGGTTTTCCTTTCCAGAAACACCCTCATTTCCTCTGCAAAAGTACCCACCTTCTCCATCTATTTGAAACTGCCCTTTCTGCCTCCTGTCTCTGATGACTTGAGATTCAAGACCTGTTGATGGTCATGTTTTTCTGTATGTGGAGAAATCCAGTATATAATAAAATGGGGTGGAGAGGGAATCAAAGAATAGGAGAACTGAGACAAACAGCTACACACATATCCAAATGTGCACATGCTAAGTCTTCATGTTGTCTAAGTCCCAACTTCAAGTTTTTTTTCTGATAATTCATCTACATCCTTTTCCTTAATTCTGTAAAAAAAGTACCATCTTCATAATAAGTATTATTTTGTTAAAGCTTGTTAATGTAATTTGAAAGTAAAATTTTAGCCAGTTCATCCCATTTAATAGATTATCTCATGCTTAAACTACACTTTAATTATTCATTTGCATCATTGAAAATACATTGCTGTCTAGGGAGGAAAAGCAAGAATAATTTTCTGAATACTGCTAACTACACAGAAAACTAGAATGACATATTTTGTTGCCAAGATGTATATTTTTGTAAAAGAATTCTTATTGTAGAATGCTTCCAACCATTCTGAATCAGCCATGCAATATGCCGCTGCTTCACTATTGTGGATTTGCAGGAAAAGAAAAGGAAGACAAGAACACTCTTGTCTATGGCTCCCAGAAACTGTTTTGAAGACGTATGGCTGACAGAGTGACCCATAGTACAAAAGTGCATATTTATGGATGTGTATAGATTTTCTGCCAGTAATTTTCCTCTAGCAGAAGGATAATAAGAATGTCTAAGTTGTCATGATACCTACTCTTAGAGGATATAGGGTCCCTTGGTTTCTTGTGTGGAAATAGATTCCAGCCAATGACTGGGGATTTAGGGATAATTTCCATCCCTCTGAGGAAAGGTGTACACCAAGTAAGGAATAAATAGGGTTCTACTTCTTTTCCACTCATCAATAGTTTCTGATTATCTATTATGTGCTGAGGATATTCTGATGAATAGATCAAAGGAAAAGACATAGATAATTTTATTATCACTATAACTGAGATTCAAATAAGGTATAATAAGAAATAAGCCATTAAATCTAAATCTATCAAGCAAGGTTTAAAACAAAGTGTGGGGGATTATATTTCTCTTCCTGAAGTAAAAAGGAGACTGACATGTGGATGCTGGAAGCAGAAATAGAGTATGATTTAAGATGGCTGGAGAAAACATTGTGTGAAAATTCATGGCTGCATGGAACTGGAATAGAGCATGAAGAGGAAGGCCAAGCCTGCTAAAACAGGCAAGAACTGCCTCCTAAAGGCCCACATGTTTATAGGATAACAACTTGGATTTAATCCTACAAGTCAGCAATTTAAAAACTGGATTCTGCTTTTAGGAGAAAGAGTAAAGGATATGATTGGGTAGCTGGATTTCTAGCTAAGCATTTGTTAAAAATTACTACTGGGTATATATACACATTGGAATATTTCTCAGCATTAAAAGAGAATAAAATCATGACATACACAGGTAAATGGATGGAGTTGGAGAATATCATGTTAAATGAAGTAAGCCAATCCCCCCCAAACCAGAGACCAAATGTTTTATCTGATATGTGGATGCTGATCTATAATGTGGGAAGGGAGCATGGGAGGAATGGAGGAACTTTGAATAGGGCAAAGGGGAGGGAGGGGAAGAGAGGGGGTAAGGGGTAAGAATGTTGGTGGAATGAGATGAACATCATAAATCTAAGTACATGTATGAAGACACGAATGGTGTGATTCTATTTTGTGTACAACCAGAGAAATAAAAAGTTGTGCTCTATATGTATACTATGAATTGAAATGCATTCTGCTGTCAAATATAAAAAATTAGAATAAACAAAGAAATTTTTAAAAAATTACTACTAAAAATTTAAAAATGGCATTTATAATATACTACCCTTTGTGTATGAAAAAAAAGGAGGTATGCTGTCTGTTCCTTTATGTCAATAAAACACATTAATGGTAAACCAGGAAATAATGGCTGTGGATGTAAATATTTCAGGCCATGCAAGAAAACAGGAAGGAAATAAAGGGTAATAGCAAGCTGGTACTAGGGATGAGAAGAAAGTGACAGTTCTCTGTGTGTACCTTTTGTATAGAGCCAGTTCTCAGAAACACATTTCACACACCCCTAAATAATTTATACCTAAAATAAACCACAATTTTGTAGCAAAAGAAACACATAACCACTCTGAAAAGAGAGGGAAAGAAAACAGCCAACACAAGTTACTAGGTAAACAATAGTTGCATGTAAATTGTGATCTCATTTTGCAAATTTCACTTTCACAGAGGCATGGTTTAAAATTTCTAAAATTGATTTGCATATATTAAAATTGATAAAATATGCTATACAAATAACAAGAACTAGTTTTTACTTGTGAAGAAGGAGTAAAAGGACAAGAGAAGGCTGAAATGAACCTTATACATTGCAATTAGAGGTATCAGTATCAGTTCATGAAGATGAGAGATAGATAGATAGGGATAGGGATAGGGATAGGGATGTATGTGTGAGAAGATATACATGTATTTCCCAGCTTCATCCATTGAGAGGGACAGGAATCAATAACTAGTCTGCGATGATGAGCACACTTTGCACCCAAATCATCAAATCATGGTTTTTAAGTAATATTATTTAATAAATAGAACAGAGTTCTTTTGAGAAATGGTTGATTCTATGGTTAGAGTAGAGATTTAAAATGCAAGATGAGTCTGCAGTATTGTGTGATGAGAATGTGAGAAATTATACAATAAATTATGAGTGCATAGTAAAGGGACATGAGAATCTACTTCAAAGAGCTCCTAATGTTCAAATCTGGGATAATTTAAGTAGCAAGCAAAATAAATAATAATAGCATCAAATAAGATAAAATAAGTATTCTTCATAAAATAAGTATCTTAGTCCATCTGATACGAATAAATGAATGAACAAATATGAAACAAGGAACAGCTTTCCCTTTCAGTACAATTTCAGATAGTAAATATATGTAGAAGAAATGATGGAAATAGAAATTGCCATTGGTAATTACCACAGTAATGACTGTTGCAAGCAAAAATTATAGTTGAATGCTAAAATCAGGGAGACAAAATATAAGAAGAAATCATATTAGCATTGTCTATAAGTGTCTTCTTATAGCATATTAATTACAAAAGGAAATACAGGAAATCTGCAGTGGAGATTAATGGAAATGCCACCTTAAATATGTAATTAAAATTTATATCAACAGTAATTACAAACACTCATCATGAAAAGATGAAGGAAGAATGGGGTAACCTCTATCTTAAGAAAGAAACATTGTACAAAATAACTGGCAAGCACTCTTCAAAAGTGCCACATTCATGAAAGACAAACTATATACTGTCACAATTTGAAGAAGATTGAAGAGACATGACAACAAAATGCAATATGAAATCTTGGATTGGTTGCAGAATCAAATTGGATGCCTGGCAAAATTTGAATAAGGCCTGTAAATTATTTAATTTTATTGTACCAAGTTGAATTTTTTGGTTTCCATAACAGTTTTATGGATGTGTAAAATGAAGATACCAGAAGAAACAGGGTGAAAAATTATTGGGAACTCCTCTGTATTATTTTTACAGCTTCTCTGCAAGGTTCAAGTTATTCCAAAATACATGTTTTAAAAAAAGCACTTGATAAAATGGAAAGAAATAAAGGGTTTCTTGTGATATTAGTTTTAGAAAGCTAGATTTTTAAAAGAAACCCATCTTCAAAGGGAACTGGAATTCCAACTAAAAAAGTGACCAGAAATCCATTCATGTTCACTGACCAGGAACAAGGAAGCTAGTGGAAAAACAAGTACATTCCAAACAAACCAAGCACAGGCCTCCTGCAAGTCCCAAACGGTGAGGTGGGGAGTCTTAAAGTAGTGCCAATTAGACTTGACTCAAGGAGTGAAACAAATGGTGCAAAAGCCAGAACCCAGCATTGGGCAAGACCAGGGCCAGGGAAGATGGCTGTAATAATACATATAAATACTTGATGCACATTCTCATCTTGGTTTTAGTAATTAAGCACATTCATTTATTTCTATAGTTCTGCAAAGTTTGTTAAAAATTCCATGATTTTGGAAGGGGGAAGCAGTGTGAGAGTAAATCACAACCAGTAAGTGGCTGAAAATAAGTACTAAATTTACCTTCCAAGAGAATAGAAATCTATAAAATTCTCTTCTGGTAAATCATTTAATTGCATTGTGATGTCATATAATTTACTCTGTCAAGACCAAAAGCATATGGACTCTCTTGGGTGATGTTGAAATTACGCATACATCTGTCTATTGTGTGTTTTGCTACTTCATTGGAATTAGAATAATTTGCAACTTATTTAGAAAGACTCTATCCATAATATCATGAAAGAAGCATATTTGTTATGCAGAACCCTATGACAAAACACATGCAAAGATTATTTCCTCCAGTAAAGTCTCAATCTCAGAACCACATCTGGATTTATCAATTTAGAGAAAAAGAAAGAACAATGTTAAAGTACTATTTACTATTTTACTACTTTAACTTTCAGCTTATCCACATAAAACCTTTCTAAATTCAAAGAGCTGTCCCTAAAATAAAATTTCTACTTGAATAAAGAAAAGGAAGGTCATATAAACAATCATAAAAAATAAGCTATAATTTGCTATGCTAATGTTCAAACTGAGATTCATGTAATGTAAGAAAGAAAAATGCTAATTTCAAGGAAGAAACACGCTAATGTGGTGGAGGGTGGTACTTTCCAATCTGAAATCCATAGTAAAGGAATACAAAGGATGAGCACAATTAGCCCTTGTTTTTTGTTTTGTAGAAGGGAAACATTCACATCCCTGGATTTTACAGTTCATGCAGGATGTCTTGGCTAAAATCCATCTCCACTATTTGTGGTTTTGCAATTTAAAAAATAAAGATGCCTCAGTATTTCAAGCTTGATCGTCTTTTACTTTTTTTTATTATGAATGAAAACAGTGGCCAATACCTCAGTAAAAATAATATAAAACACTTCAAAAAAGCTTACAAATGTGGAAGTTTTCAAGGTTAAGCAACTTAAATCATCTTCCTTCACTCCCTGTGGACCTTACACCCTTTGGGATTATGTGGCCTATTGAATTAATTAATTCAATACAGAATTAACCTGAATAATTTATAAATTATTTTCCATAATTTCTCAGAAAGTCTGTAATTAACATACCTGCAGTTTAGTAACTTCACAGTTAATGGAAGGTGATTCTTTGAAGCCTTGACCAAAAACTCTCACCATCGTACAATTATGCTTTTGAACATCACAGAATCCAGCATTCTCAAGCTCTGTGATTTCAGGAACTTTGTCTTTGGAGAACAATTATAACAAATAGAACATGTTTTTTTAATTCCGGAAAACAAACTACATAATTATGCCTCAAAGCCCAAATGAAAAGCATGTGTAAAATAATACTTCAAAGTACACCCCAAATACTATTTACATTAATTAAACCATTAAATGTTAAGAGCATTCTGGTATTAAATGTGATGTTAACCTACCATTAAACCTACAACAATGTCAACAATGCCATTATACTTGCTACTGGTGCTGTCATTAATGTTTTAAGATTTGATTATGAGGTTTTGTGAAAAATATTTATTCTGAATGACCATGGATGGATTTTCTGATAATGTGACACTTGAACAGAGAAATAAAAAAGGTTAGTCATGAAGCTGTGTGGTGAAAGAATGCTCCAATAAGAGAGCAGTAAGTACAAAGGCCCTGAGGTAGGAGCAGACCTGTAAGAACAGCAAAGCAGCCAATGTGGCGGAAGAGCAGTGAACTTGGGGAAGAGCGGTTAATGAACTGAGAGTGAGGAGGAGCCTCAGATTATCTGAGGTCCATGTAAAGAGTTGTGGATTTTATTCTGAAAAATAGGGCAAGCCATTTGAAGGATTTAAGCAGAGAAGCAATGTGATCTGACTTACATTTCAAAGGGGTCACTTTGGCTTCTGCTGCATAGAAAATAAGCTTTAAGAGAATCTATGATGATCCAGGTGAGAGACAGTGGTGATTTGGACCAAGGCTGTAGCAAGGAAAGAAATGAAATGATTTGAAGCTAGAACTGGACTTGCTGCTATGGAGTTAAACTTGAGGCATGGGAGAAACAGAAAAGTCAATACCTGCAAGTTTTTAACTTGGGCCATCAGAGTGAAGTTTTTGCATTTACTGAGATAGAAGAGACTGTAAATGGAAAAGGGAAGGATGGTGGTTGTGGGAGGGAAATCAAGAATTACTGGTTTACTGGTTAAATGAACCAAGTCAACATTTAAATTTTTTCTTTCTCTAACATTTTGAGACAGAACAGTTTACACTATATAACAAAGGAGCATGATTAGCAAGATAATACAAACACAGTCCTTAAAACATGTTAAATTTGAGTCCTAGGAAAACAATTATTCTCTACAGGTAGAAGGACCAGTTAGTTGCAAGCAAAGGCCAGGAGACAGGGTAAACCTGGCATTTCAAAAACAGCAGAGACTAAAGTAGCTGTAGTGGGATGATGAGAAGGTGACAGTTGCAGGAGATGAGTCTGGAAGAACTCTGTGTGCCTTATAGGTAATTACAACAACTTCAACTTTTCTCTGAATGGGATGAAACACTTTGGGGAAATTATGTGTCTTATCACTATACGATCTTCACAAGCCCTAAGATAATTAAGTCAAAAAAGAACAAATATATTTTCATAATCAAATTTCCTGCACAACATTAAAGTTTAAGAGTGTTTACTTACCATACCAATCACTGCAGTCATAGGAGCTGAAGCCTGGGAGACATGCACACCCCCAATCCATACACTGCCCATTGCCACTGCATAAATTGGGACATTTTAATACCAAGAGAATGTCTTCAGTTGACTTGCCATATTCTTTTGTGTTATATTTCCCCTCTTCCAAAATCCTCTTTTCACATTCATTTTCTAGAAGGGCCACACCTGCTTCTGCCCAGCTAACATCATCTTTCAACAGAATGTCCTTAACACACATATCTACAACATGGTCTAGTCTTTTACCGAGAAAGTCAAAACAGAGCCTGCCTATGCTGGAGTTGGCTAGAGTGCGCTGACAGAGTTTCAGGCTGCTGTCCTGGGTAAGGCCAGAGGGTGTGGGCCACTGGGGGACAAACTCTTGGTGGATACCCTCAGTGTGGTCCTCAGGGAAAAAATAAGTAAACTGTTCCAGGTTGGTCTGGCTGAGACTTTGGAAAGCAAACAAAGTAGGAAACTCATTGAAATGTTGCCGTTTCCATCTGTTTTGTGGATTCCACCTCATTTGTTGGCTGTGGCGACCCTGGTCCTGCTTATGTTTCTCCTTGTCTGAATATTTTGGTGCATCTTGTTTTTCATTCCCAGGATATTGTAAATGTACGTCCCGTTTGGTGAGGTCTATGTACTTCTTTCCTTGCAGTAAGAAATTCAAATTATTTTCTTCTCTAGATGTATGCTTGTTTATCGTCCCAACCAGAGCTTCTGAATTAATATATTCAGAGGTGACATCTAGTTCTGGTATCAAAGAAGAGAATCTGACATGTTTGAGGTCTTTGCAATCTGAAGCAATTTCTGGTTGAGGAACACCATCCAGATGATTAGAAAACGGGTACCTGGAGGCGGTATCCATTGAGCAGCTACAATAGGATAGTTTTGCAGGCAAAGTCTGAGAAATTGGCATCTTGTCAAACATGCTTCTCCCTGGTAAAATCCTTCCAGATTAAAAACATAAAACGAAAGTTATTTGAACCAGAACATTTTCCCCAGGAATGTGTTGCCAAAGCGAGAGACTCTTCACATTTAAGTCTAATATTAATACAATCACAAATGAAAATTAGTTTCTTACCTCCATTCATTAATAAAAGCAGCACAATTATTAAAATGTTGGTCAATTTTGATCCCATTTTTATCATGGAAATCATTTTCTGGGTTCTCATCAAAGGTTCCACAGAGTCCTAAAGTGTTTTTGTAATCTGAACTGGATGCCCTAATGGTTAAACTCATGCCCCATTCACTCAAGTCAGCACGAATAAATGCTCCAGAAGAAAATGAAATCTGAAACCAACATATAAACAGAAGATGTGAAAGCCATATTCAATACAGATTAAGAAAAAAGTGTTATTTAAGAAATAAGAAGCAAACTCAGGCACTTCTCCCATATAAACAGAATAAAATACTAGGGGACAAACTCTTGGTGGATATACTCAGTGTGGTCCTCAGGGAAAAAATAAGTAAACTGTTCCAGGTTGGCCTTTTTGATTTTTTTCCCCAGGGGACAACTTCTTTTTTATTGCTTTATTTTAAAATAATAAATTTTTGCATTTTTTTCTGATTTAGAATTTGAACACTTACTGATTTTTATTGATATATATTATTTGTGACTTCTTTCCTTAAACAATTTAAACCAAAATATGATATATAATGAAAACAGTTATAAATCTTAAAGACAACATTTACCAAGTAATGGTAATGTTTATTTACTTATATATTTTTCCTTTTTTTTTTTTTTTTTTTTTGGTGCTGGGGATTGAAACCAGGGACTTGCGACTGTTCTACCACTGAGCTATGACTTTGACCAACCAAGTTATGCTTCTGATAGTAGTTATTTAATATGGAATTAGACTCACAAATAATTAATTTACACAGATTAATATAATTCGGAAGGAGTGGATATTCCTGTGGCCAATTAGCATTCTCTTGCCACAAGCTGGCAAATAGAAACCACATTAAAACCAAAGGTTGCCTAGGGGGTTGGCAATCAGAACAAGAGGTATTTATTGAATGACTAACAGCCTGTGTCATCTAACTGTGAGTACCTCTCTCTGTTACAGGAATAGCACCTGTCCCAGACCAGTCACTTGGATGTACATGAGGAAAAACTATCTCTTCTAAGAGTCAACAAAGGTATAACATCAGTGTTTACTTCTCTGATCCTTGTTCCCCTTTTAGTTTTTTGGGTTTTTTTAATCTAAAATGAGCTTTTCTTTTTACAAAACTAGTATGCGTTCATTACACAAAATGATTTCAAACACAAACAAAATTTATATTTCTACCCAAGTGGCAGAGGGAAGATGTTAACGGCTAATGCTAAGATCTTGGTGCAAATTCTTCAAAAGTCTTTTCTATATTTCATGAATGTCTTTGCCTGTCTGTAAGCAAAGCCTACTCTATCATTTTCATGACTACAATGTGTTTTATTGTGTACATCATTGTAGAGTTTTAGTTAAACACTTTTTTTTCTCTAGGAGCATTAATTTTAGTTTAAGATTTGTAAGAAACAAATTTATTAAGAATCATTCCTACTTCTGCAGCAACATGGGAGAAAGAACAGAAAAGAACAGGAGAGGGGGGACACGTGGAGGCAGAGGGGTCCCCTCCTTCTCCAGATGCCCCTGGGACTGGAATTGGTATGGACAAGCCTGAAACAGTCTGCACATCTCCCTCCTGCAGCTGTTCCACGTAAGTGAGATCCTGTGGGATCTGTCCCTTTTGGTTTTTGTCTGACTCAACTGTCCACTTTCATTGGAGCCACTTTGTTCCTGAATTCAGGGTGTGTTTTTTGGGATAGCCAATAGCAACATGGCATGCAACAGCATATTCATAGGCTACAAGCAGAAATCCACCTAGTCACCTGCTTTTGGTCTGTCCTGAATGTTGTCTTTGGTACAGGCTGCAGTCCCACCATGGGGCTGCTCAGGGCATGGCAGCTGGGAAGCAGAGAGAGCAAGGTGCCAAGGACAAAAATACTAAACCCCAAAGGAAGCTCCCAGTGACCTACACTTCCTCCAGCCACACCCTACCTGCCTATAGCTATCAAGTACAGTAGTCCTTTCAAATAATTAATCTATCAAATGGATTAATCCACGAATTAGGTAACAGTTCTGATAATCTAATCATTTAACCTCTGAATATTTCTGCATTTTCTTGCACATAAGCTTTTGGGGGATACCATACTTTATATCCACAGCATAACAGCAGGTTATGGAGAATGATATTTTCTTGTTTAGAAATTAAAATATGTAGGGGGGTTCAATAGGTTTTTCAGTTAGAATCTAAAAATCTGTAATAATGTTTGGTTATTAAGCACCTTTTCATATTCACAATTAATGTATTCAATTCCTCTTTCAACTCTGAATGACTGATATTAAGGACGGCAGCACTTTACTCGGGTTGTGGTACTATGACAGAATGCTCTGTTCCCTAAGACACCACAGGGACATTATTAAACTTATGGGGCTCAGAGGTAGGGGGATTTCATCATAATTTCCCTGTGAGGTCCTTATGAGACTTCTCATTAGAAATCCAGGAACTCAGAGGTAGTGGGTTGATATATTCTCAAGTGATAAAGGACAACCAAGAGTCCTATGGCCAGCATACGTATCCTTCCCACAGAAGAAGAAATAAGGCGTTCCAAGATGCCTAGGTCCCTTCATGCTGCTATAACAAAATACTTTAAGCTGAGCAATTTATTAACAACAGAAATTGATTTATTGAATTTCTGGAGGCTGGAAAACTCAAGGTCAAGGTGCCAGGAGATTCAATGTGTGGAGAGAGCTGACTTTCTCCTTTGAAGATGTTCTTTTTTTTTTGCTGTGTCTTCACATGGTAGAAGGGACAGAAGGTTGACTATTCCAAGCCTTTGTTGTTGTGGCACTGGTGATTGAACCTAGAGCCTCTCACATGATAGGGAAGTGCTTTACCACTGAGATGTATCCCCAGCCCCTTTTACTTTGAGACAGGGATAAGTTAAATTGCCTTAAACATGTGATCCTCCTGTTTCAGTATCCTGAGTAGCTAAGACTGCAGATGTACACCAGCACATCATGCTTAATAAACAGACTTCTGTGTGGATTTAGTGCTAGGGTTTTGTGCATACAGACAAGTCTTCTTATCTAAAGGTACACATCCCAACCATGAGGTTGGAGCTTCCTGGTCCTCTCAGTACTGTTGCAATGAAGTCCAAATTTCAACAGGAATTTTGGAGGGATACATACACTCAAACCACCATACCATTTAAATCAAAAGCCAAGGGACTTAGTCACCATGAGATGTGTCCTGTGTGAGAGGAATCCTTCGGATTCATTGGAAGTCCACTAGACAGGAACTCAGAGATTAAGAACTTGCATGGGCACCTGAGTGGCAGAGGGATGATGTTAATAGTCACTAGCTAGCAGGCACTCTCTGCTGCAGGTTATCCCCTGTGTGTAGCTTCAGCTGCAGCTCCCTGTGCTCCTGCTCATATATCTGCTCATACATGAGTTATTAGCATAGAAAGATGCAAGATGTCCTACTGGAGAAGCTTACTGGAGGCTTGGAAGCACAGGAAGTTTTGTGGAACTGTATTCAAAACCTGTCAGGTCCAAATATTTCCAGGGAGACAAATGGTTTTGATAGAATCAGGAGCAAACTTTTGCACAATAGCAAATACAGCTTGTGAGACATCAGATATGGAGTCTCTTGGAGACAGCTTTCCAGTCCCTGCAGCTGCCACAATGTAAAGTGACAAGCTGGATTTGTGGTTCCATGCACAGGGGCTGTGGAACCACCAGATCCTCCAACTGCTGCCACCCGGGCTCCCAGTTGCCACCTTTGCCCTCATGGTTCACATGACCATCATGGTTCCCACTGCCTTCCTAGTTCACACCAAAAAACTGTGGTTCTGGTCACCCTCATGCTTCACATCATCCATGAGGTCTAGAGCTCCTTCAACAAAGTGGCCTCCCTCTGCTTCTGCTGCTGCACCCTGCTTAGGTTCAGTGCTTCTTTCCATATACCCGCCAGCTGCAGGAGTTGGGTTTCCAGCAGTGATGCCAGAGTGCCAATACTGAATGCCACAGAATACATATTCCTGAACCCTCTCATTGATTACTGATTAATTGCAAGGTTTCCCTCTTAGCAGAAGAGATTGCAATCAATTTCCAGAAGCAAAATTTTTGTAAAATAGTCTCTGAATATAGAGAAGTTCAGATTGTATTAATATATATGCCCTCCAGAAATACTGTTTCTACCATCACTACTCTTGACAGTATTTTTTGAGAGATGTTTGATCAGCATTTTTTTTTATTTGATGACTAATGTTCTTAACATTGTTATATCTCCGTTGGTTACTTGTACTTTTGGACATGTTAATGTTCTTTTTGAATTATCATTTTGTAATATTTGCTCAATAAAATGGTGAGTATACCTTAGAGATATATTTTTTATATAACTGATTGTATATAGCAAATATTTTCCCAAATTCTTTATTGGCATTTTGGTTTTTGATGATGGAATAAAAATATATAATGTTATCTTAAAAGTTATTGTTCTCTTCAATAAATATCATAAGAACATATTTACAAACACTTTTATTTAAATTTGAATTATACTTACCTGGAATTTATTTTATTGAAATATGAAAGGAAAATGAACACGACCTTAAGATACAAATTGTTAGCTCACAGACATGAAATATTATATTTAAAAAGTGTTGGTGAATATATATAATATTGAGAATGTTTCCTGATTTCTATTCTTTTCCACTTATCTACTAGCCCATTCCTAAAGCAGTAACATGTTCAATTCACTTGAAAAGTTGGTTAACTACTAAATATTTATTTTTAATTATGTCTGTCATCTAATATGCCATTTAATGGATACTGTAAAAATAGTTTTTATGAATAATGCACAAAATTGTGATACTGAAATGTTAAATAAATCAATTTAAGTTTGACAGTGTTTCTAATCATCTTTACTTGTGTGTGGTAGGTGCAAAAACATTCATTTTGAGATCATAGTTAATCCAAATGCTATCTTCTTGATAGCATATCTTCTTGATAGCAAACCAATATTTAAAAATTATAGCTCCTGGGCTGGGGTTATAGCTCAGTGGCCGAGTACTCACCTCACATGCATGAGGCACTGGGTTCAATCCTCAGCACCACATACAAAAATAAATAAATAAATAAAACAAAGACATTGTGTCCATCTACAACTAAAAAATAAAATAAAAATAAAAATATGATAGCTCCTAATTTAACAGAGATGTATAGTTTATTCAAAATGAGAAAAAGGGAAACTATTTTTAATACCACAAAATCATACATACTGTGACTTTTCGTCCTAAATAAGATTCACTTATCTTGATATTGCTGGATGCATCTTGGCTCTTTACAAATAAATATGGTCGTAATTCATGTAGCTGACCACTGCACATATCGAAAGTAACGACATCTCCTCCTTCTTTGGCCACAAACCCACAGTTACATGACGCAGGGTAGTGAAGGCTTCCACAGTCCCATTGACGCACATGGACTTCAAAATCACGTGTTGTACTCTTGTAAAGTACAAATGTTCCAGTCTTGAAATTATCATATACCCTATCATTAACAAAAGTGAACTGCATTAAGAGTTGGTTATAAAACATCACAATAGTATGTTATAAACTAACTATGTATTACATTTATTTACAGGCTTTCCATATTTTGATGTTAGAATGAGAAATCAAGATTTTCAGCACCTTTTTGGGTCATGAGCATTTGTTTGTATGCACTGAATGAAACACCTGTATCTCTCTCACTACTCTTTTCTTCCCTTTCATCACCCCAGAGAGGCTTTGCTCCTAGAGGAGGGAGGCCTTCCTAGTGGCATGCACTTGCTGTCTCTCTGGTCTTCAAGTATTTGTTCACATTACCATCAAAATGGCTTTCCATAACCAGTCTATTTTAATATAAATTACTAACCCTACTTCCAGCCTTCCCTTTCCACCTGATTTAGTTTTCTTCATGGCATGTCTCTTCCTCAGACACACGACATACTTTATTTCCTGATTGTGTTAATATCTCTTTTCCTCTGTTCAGAGGTCGGCTCTATGAGGGAATGATAATCTCTTGTTCACTGTCACATCCCCCAACACTTAGAACATGGCTTGTCACCAAGCTGCTGCACAATTAATCTTGTTGAATTAAGTCAGATTAAATACATCACCATTTCTTGATTTTTTTCCCACCAAAATTCTAAGATTTCAATTATAACCATAGAAGAAATTCTTGCATGAGAGATAAGTTCCAACAATTTCTCAATTCTTGCTCAGATCTGTGGAGTATCATTTTTACTGAAGGATTCTACATCTATTTTTCATATTGAATGACTTTACTGGAAATGATCACATTACAATTTTTAAAAATTAAAAGAAAAAATTACCATGCATCAGGATGAGAATTTTGAATCAACAATACAGTATTATTTTCCTTAAGGATATGATATCCCTCAGAATAGTATCACTGAGTTTAAATTTTGCTATGCAGATATTAATAGCAGTGTGACTTAGATTATTTGGTTTTGGTCATCTTGCTCAATTTACTTAAATTCTAGAGTTAAATATTCAGGCTTTTATGAAGTTGTAATTGTTTTTTCCATGAGTATTCTCATTATAAATTAAAGCTGATTTGTTCTTTAAAAATTCTAGTGTGTTAGTTATTTTCCTAAAACTTAAAGATTATTTCATTATATATAAATTCAAAACAGTATATCACAATAAATATCACAGTAAACATCTCTGATGCAAATAATGAAATTATTAAAAACAAATACATGGCAAACAAAATGATAACTTGCATTTTTCATAAACTTCATTTCTACAAATTAAGGCTAACAACTATAACCATATATACATACACAATAGACTTAAGAAAAAAATTATACACAAATAAATTAGTATGTTCAAACAAATCAGTGATGGCAAAACATGACTTTCTTTTCTAGTTTTCCAGTGAACAGGACTAAGAAATGATTGAACAGAATGCTGGTTAAAACAAAACAACAGTGAAACCAAAACAAACAACAACCATTAAAAGAAAAGACTTTTAGGAAATTACCTGCCATCAAAGGTAATTATATGTGGATCAGTAAACGAATAGCAGTAAGCTGTTGGGACATCCTTGACTCTGATCTTAAAAACAAAGATATTTTTGATAAATATTATTATTGGTATTCAGTGACAATTACTCATCACAACTGCAATGGATTTTTCATTAATTCTTGTCTTACATATTGAAAATGGAATAATTTAAAACTCATAATTATCAATAACTTTAAAATTAAAATTTACAAGATACAGTGATAAAATACACATATCATTTTAAGTTTAAATTATAAAGATTATTTTAAATTTGTCAACCTGGATGCTGTCTGGAATATAGCTGTTCCACAGGAAATCCTTATTCACTATAGGTTCTACAACAATGTTCGTAACTCTGTCTCCATCTTGTGAAAAATCTGAGACAGCGATGTAATACAGGGAAGCTTGGCCACAGGTGCCGTTGGCACAGGATGTTGTCTGGTGGAGGTCCACATTGCAGGAAGACAGTGCCAAGTTTACGCCAGGGTGTTCTTTACCTATTTAATAATAAAAAAGTTGATAATTTTCCCAATAGTATATACATATGAAACATTAAATAGAGTGATTACTCTTAAAGCATTTTCTCTTTCTTAAAAAAATATTTTTGAAATTTTCATCTAAGTTAAAACAAATTGGAAATACAGTGGAATGAATCTGACACAACTTTCCTATGTACATCTATGAATATGCCACAATGAATCTCCATATCATGTATAACCACAAGACTGGGATCCTAGTTAGAATAAGAAAAAAAAGTTATTGAATCTACCTGATTTTTACAGATAATTGATAAACTTGAAAATATACATATATTTGTACATACATATACATTACTATTTATTTTCAACCAAGTTACCAATCCATATGCTCCCAGATAAAATTTAAAAACAATAAATAACAAAGTAATGATAGAGATGAAGATATAAATAACTTTGATTTGATCAATATATTTTATTTACATGTTTTGAAGTACATGTATGTATACTTCAAGTATAAGTATATGTACAATGTACACTGTACATATGCAATTATTATGTGCTAAAAACTGTCTAACAAGATGTAAAAAAGCAATAAGCAAAAGTTGTCTTTCTTTTAAAAAAGTCATAATTATAGTACCAAGACACATAATTTGATTTCTTTTTCTATCTAACAACTGCACCCCATGTCCAGATTGTTCTATAATAAATTTTAGGGCATTTCTTCATGTCTCATACACTGGAGATTATAGTAGTAGATTTAATTATTTATATAGGGTTCATCATCTTAAGAAATAGTAAAGTCAACACAAATGAAAAGCCAACCCCAGACCCGTAGTAAACTATCTCCCTTTGCCTCTCAAATGTGCCAATACATTCACAAACTCCCTCACCTAGGTAACAAAGAATGCAAAAAGATTTCTTTTTTATACTTTTATTTACTTATTTTTATGTGGTGCTGAAGATTGAACCCATTGCTTCAAATGTGCTAGACAAGCACTCTAACACTGAACTACAGCTTTAGCCCAAGAAACGAATTTAAAAAGGAAATGGTAGCAAAGAATAAAAAAATTGTATAACTAGACCAAAAAAAAAAAAAAAAGGATTTCCCCCTTAAAACTGGCAAAAACGTAGTATTTTTTATATACAATTAATGATTATAAAGTCCTTCTAGGAATGAAGGAGGAAGAAATAATTTAAAAACTCTTATCTTTTCTCCCACACAAATTATTCAGGAATGGAATTATAATGGTTAGGCACAGGTACACTGCATTGGAGTCAAAATTCAGGAAAAATTTCTTTTATGTGCTTTTCCTAGAAATATAAACTTTTCTCATACACATAAAAAAAATGGAAATACCCAAACTCTTAACTGGCTTCCTAAGGTGAATATGGGGTATTTGGGACTTGAATACAATGACCAATGGTGGTCACTGCCAATAATCTCACCTGCCTAGTTTATGATATGAGAGGGCTGAACATTCTTCTCTTAAGCCTGAGAAAAAGCAACGCTGTCTATGTAGAAATTCACTGAGACACCAACATATTCCCTATGAAAGTAGAGATTTAATAGAAATGCACTTAAATACCTAAGAAGAGGAATATCCAAAATGAAATCCAGAAATTTTCCACAAGGAGAAAGAGCGAGAAGACAGAAAAAGATACAAAGAGAAGGAGGGCAGGGAGAATTTTTAACAAAGGATAAGAGCACACAACTTCTAACATGTAGGAAATATATTTAAGGCTATCTTTACACTGGCAATGCCTGCTTTATTAAAAGACTTGAGAGCATGCAAATATATTTTAAGGTATTCTTATAAATGAAGGAAAATTGTCCAATACAATTTTGAAAAACAATAATAGCATTGTATTCTATTTTGCCCATAAATTGTAGTAACATTTTCCTATTATGTATTCAAAAGGTAGCTTGAAGTAGAACTATGTCTAAATGTCTGAGCAAAAGACCATTTTTCCATATTTCTAGGCTGTAATTAAAATATAATGTTGCTCATGGTGCTCCTGAAATCTGGGTTAGTAGCTGGGCATTAATCAAGCCTTTTTAACTGTCAAATATCTTAGGAAGACATCTCTTAATTTCTCTATCTCCTTACCCATATTTTTTCTTGGATGCACATTCTTATGAGATTGTCTCTGACCCCATTATACTGTGTGGCCTTTTTATCCTTTTGAACATGGACATTAAGACCTACAAAAATATGCATTGTACTTTTGTACTATAAAAGGTATGTATTATGGTTTAGATATTAGTTGTCTCCCAAAAACTCATGTGTGACAGTATAAGAAAGTTTAGAGGTAGAAGCCAGGCAAGGTGGCACATGCCTGTAATCCCAGCTTCTCAGGAGGCTGAGGCAGGAGAATTTCAAGATGAAAGCCAGCCTCAGCATCTTGGTGAGACCCTAAGCAACCCTGATAGACCCTGTCTTAAAATATAAAATGAAAGGGGCTGGGGTTGTAGCTCAGTGGTAGAATGCCTGCTTCACACACATGAGGCACTGGGTTCGATCCTCAGCACCACATAAAAAGAAATAAATAAAGATTGTATCATCTACAACTTAAAAAAAATAAAAAATATATAAAATGAAAAAAAGGGTTGGAGATATAGCTCAGTATTTGAGCACTCCTGGGTTCAATCCCTGGTATAAAAAAAATAGAGGTGAAATAATTATGTTATGCTAGTTCTAACCTAATCAGTGCATTAATATCCTGAGAAAAGTCAATTGGGTGGTCACTGCAGGCAGGTAAGGTGTGGCTGAAGGAGGTGAGTCATTGGAGCATGCTTCTGAGGTAGACATTTATCCTAGGTGAGAGGAAGTCCCCTTCTTTCTGTTCTTGGTGGCCAGATCCTGTCCTGCTTTCCTCTGCCTTGCCCTTCTGCCATGATGTTCTGCCTATCTTGGGTCCAGAACAATGGGGCCAGCCACCTTTAGTAAGTGAGACCCCTGAAAATATGAGCCCCCCCAAAAAAACTTTTCCTACTCTAAATTTGTTCTTGTCAGTCTTTCAGTTATAGCAGTGAAAAGCTGGCTAAAACAGCATGTGGTATGTAACAGAACTGTAATCTCTCTTATAGGTTAGGTCTATATATCTCTTACTTGATTTGATCAGAGACTTAAGGGGGAAGAGAACTCAATCAACCCAACAACTGCTCTTCATGGTTTCTCCTCTGATATTCCATCTTGTCAACACTATGAGTGGGTTTCCATTCTCTTTATATGGCTGTCACAGCGACGTATATGTGACCTTGCAATATGACATTTGCAGAATTAGCAATTTAAATGGAAGAATTTAAAGATCCACAAACTTATCTTACATTAAGAAGTGTGAAGCGTGTGTTATGAGATCCATGTTTCATAACCTGAACTTTTAGTATAACTTATCACACCTCCCTCATTGAGGATGATTTGGAAAATCTTAAAAGAACAGTTTGTCCTTCAATCTCTGAAAATAAAGCAAAGAAAGGAACAAGTAAGAGAATGAGAAGCAGAATGAAAATTAGAAGGAGAAGGAAGGAAAAGAAAGGGTGTAGGAAGATGACTACAAATAGGAGATTGTTCACTATTATTTTAAATGTATGCTTTGATCCCAAGAAGAATAACTAGGATTTGCTTTGGCAATCATCAATTTGATCCAGCAGTATTAATATGATTCAGCTATAATTTGATGTAAACATGCAGTATAATTTAGAAGATGAGTATATTCCAGGTACTTTTCCTAGAGAAGAAAAAACATCAGTTACCATTTGAAATCTAATAACAAAATCAAATGAACTTAGTATATTACCTTGATCAACAGTTTTCAGCTTTAATGAGATTTTGCATTCTTGATCAAGCTCACTAAATTCAGAACAAACAATAGGAATTGTACTCTCTATCCTCAGCTGGTATTCTTTCCCATCTTCTGATATAGTACTCAATTCAGGTTGTAACTGGTGTAGCAACATATAGAATGTTAGGTTAAAATAGAATTTGTTTTAAAATATAATTTTAAAAACACGTTTTCTTAACAGCTTTTCTTTTGCTAAATGAGCTGGTAATAACTTAAGCCCTGGAATTTTTTTTAACTAATAAAATCAATTTAGACCAAACCAATTAAACCATAAGCAGCATGCAGAGGTATACACGGAGCTATTGTACCACTGGGTTAGAACGACATTTTGATTCTCCAACCCATGGTAGGATAAGTCATGTCAAAGCCTGCCTTGTCTGTGATGGGCACTGTAGAATGGAGGAAAAACAGAATTCCATTTTCTTAAACTTGTTTGCTCTTATTCCAATGTAAGTTTGGTTATTTTCAGGGATTTATACCCACCATCTTAATCAGAAATTTAGTTATATTTTATAGGTAGATCAAATGATTGTTGTCACCTGAAATATCTCAACTCTCGGGATATTTATGAGTTTCTGCTTTCTACAAGTAGACTTACTGAGTACTATTGCACGCTAATCCAGTTCACAGAATTTTTTTTTTTTTTGAGTTGGGGAATTTGACTAGCTCTCAACAGAGATGTGCTTTAGTATTGACTATTCTGTTAGTCTAATTTGAAACAGTACTAGAAGCTAACCACTGGGCCTTGACCTTGTCTGCTTGGTGTTACCAAGCAGATCACAAGCATCCTGTGTCCTAAGTCTGTGTCCTTCCCCTCCCACTACGGGTATGCTATTCTGACGATGTGGTTCAGTCTTCTTTTCGTGGTGCCTGCAGTGTAATAAAACCTAGAAATAGGTTTTATTCTGGTCCTGAGTACTGTTCTCACAATCTGTCTTTTTTCCAACTTGTCTTCAAACTTGGAGTGACTGCAAGTCAAATTCCAATTATGTGAGTGAGGAGACCTGCAGATGCATGGCTCTTGCCTGCTTGGACTTCTTGATATTGCTCCATGCCTTCCACCACTTCTGATTTCCTGTCACCTCTGCTCACCTGTTAGACCCTAGTGCTACTAGCAATAATTAAATATAATCCATTGTTAAATTAGCTCAATCACTGCAATCCATAAAGACTAGAGCTCTGAGTCTTGGTCTGGTACCTGACTTCAAAAATGCACAATAACTCAATATTGATATGTTAATTTTTAGTTAAATGACAGACTGAATTATGGGGATAAAGCCTTTACTTTCATTAGAGCTATTTCTTTAAAGATAAATCCACGAGAGCTTGAATTATGATAGTTCAAGTAGGATACTTTCACTACGTTGGTTCAAAAGTGACACACATTAGATAGAAACCACACATTGAATTTTGAGTTTTGTTCTTTTCCCAGGCTAGCAATATGCCTGTGCTCTGCAATGGCAGTGAGTCACAACTCCCAGTCACCAGTGTAATCATGAGGGAAAGCAACTAATACCCTACAATGTACTGTGTTATTAAGCTATGACATTAGGCAGGTTAGCTGTATTAAATGCATTTTTGACTTAACATTTTTCTCAACTTGTGATGAGTTCCTTGGGAGGTAATACCATTGTAAGTTGAAGAGCATCTGTACATATCAACCTTAGTTCATTAATAGGGATTCTCAAATTTTGTTGTTCCTTAGAATTGTTGGAATTATTTCTCAAAAATACAGACTACTGAGTCTTACCTTTCAGATTCAGCCAGAAAACTTTATGAAAAGATCACCACTTGGGGAATTAGTTCCAGAAGAATAATCTTTCTGATTCATCCCTTCTACTACATACCTTTATGCCCGCATAAAATTCCTGGCTTTCGATGGCTAAACTTTGTATATGTGGTTTCTCCAAGAAAAAGATGGATGCACTACAGAATATCTATAAATACAGTTAACAAATAACAATTTAGTAAAAAAAAAAATATTAAAAAACGTGTTAATTATTATCTTTAAATTCTTAATTTAATTTAATTCTTGGTAGATAGTGTATAGCAGATAAAAGAACTGAGTAACTTAATTACTTGCCTGAAATTTAAAAAAAATTCATCATTATAAAATATTACTCATTCAAATCTCAACATAAATTAAAATGTAGTAGCCTTTTCACTTAAGATGTATTTGAAAGTAGATAAACATAATATATCATCATTGAAAAAATTAAAGCATTGTTGTCCAAAATATTAGAATATAATTTTAAAACCCAGAAAAGACATACAGTTACAGAGACTCATTGATAATAATCAGCACGTTGCTAAAAAAAGATATTCATATGTAGTCACTAAGATTATGTTACTGAGTCATCTAGATATCACTAGAATTGGCACAGTTGCTAAAGGAAAAAACAGAAGGAGAACCTTAGTGTTTTCTATTCTGGGGACAAAAATCTCATAT